TTTAAAGGGTGCAGTAATCTCTTCAATCCTTATCGCAGTCATTTCACGAAAAATTCTTTTATCTCAAGGACAAAAAAATGTTAACAATTTTATGAACGATAGCCGTCTAACTTTATCACATAAACATGCTGCTGCAAGAGTTTTACAAAAAACATGGCTTATTTATAGATGTTTAAAAGCTAATGATGATACTCCAGATAATTTATTGAGACGGCATCAAAGGAAATTTTTAAATGCAATTCATCAGTGAGTTTATTTTTTAATTAAAGTTTTAGGTTTTATTTTATGTTGGAAGGTTATGTTGCGAGTTGGTAGAATGGTTAGGGTGTTGGGTTTGATTGGCAGTCGTTCCTGAAGGGTCTGGGGTTCGATTCCCCTTGACGCCCATTAATTTTTCGAACGCTCTTTTTGCGTTTTTAAGGCCAAATAAAATTTTTTTAAATTATATTCTTGTAGTAAAAAATTTTTAATAATTAAAAAATATTTTTTCAACAGTTTTCGTCGAATAAAAAATAAAATTCGTGCCTTTGGCGAGAATAGTACAACATCTATGCATCAACTAAACAGGGTTTTTTGTTTTCTTTAAAATTCTCTAAAAAAATTTTTTTCCTCTAGTTAATGAGCGAAATGCATTCACAAACACAAAAAATGGCTTTGGCACAAGAAGAAATGCGGCAACAATTAGAATTATTACAAAGAACAATGTTAGCATATTATCAACGTGATCCATCAATTAATACAAATATGGAATTACAACAACAACAAACACCAAATTAATTTTTATTTTAATTAATATAGCTCAATTTCAAGATTAGTGCCCAAAAAATTTGAAAAAAAGAAGAAGAAAAATTTTTTTGTGAAATTTAGAAAAAGCGGGTTTAAATTTTAGCCTAATATGTACTTTAGAATTTTTGATCTCTTCTCTATTAAAATGTTTTAAATTTGTGATCTATTTAAAAATTTATATTTTTAAAAGTAAAATAATTGAATTTTTTTTAAAAAAAACCTTTAACCAGTTAATTAACGGATATTCCGTATTTTATCTTTTAAAAATTTTTTCGTGACTTTATTGACTAAAAATGATAGACAATGTATATTGAGGAGAGTGGAGAGAGAATTAGAGAATGAAAAAATTTACCATCACATATTTTGCCACAATCATATTTCGCCAATAAGTCTTGAAATCTACGTTTTGTCACCACATCTCTATTGGCAAAATGTGGATTTTTAGCCTTATTGGCGAAATAAGGGGTTGGCAAAATGTGATCCAGAAAAATTTTTTTTTCTGGAATCAAAGGATTATTTAAATTTATTTAGTTTTTTTTTATTGTTTTGCTTGATTCAATTTATTTAAAAATTTTTTTTTTAATTTTTAGATTTTAATTTAAAATAATGATTAATTTTGACAATCTTAAAGCTAATGGACAAATTATTGTGGTTATTTTTTATTTTCATTTAAGATTTAAACTTTTACTTTTTTTTAAGGCTGGACGCTTTAGGTTAAGATATTTGAATAAGAATTGTGTTCCAATTGCGTCTGACATTCCTGAACTTGATGAACATTTGATTGTTGTTGATCTGGTTAAAGCTGAGGTTTCTTTTTGTTATTGACAGTTTATCCATTCAATTTTTTATTTTAAGGGTTATGAAGCCAAAATTATCGACTCTCTCAAGGCTATGGAATTATCCATCTCTGACAGTTCCAATCACAGCCTTGCAAACAAAGAAAACATCCCTGAAGGATGCGAAATTAGAGGAGATGAGAAACTTTCTGTTACTTTCCTTTCAATCGATAAACTTGACAAAATGGCAGCTTTGAACAAAAATCGACTTGAAGAGACACAGCGTGGATTTGAATTGAGTTCTTCTGATCGCTTTGCCAATTTTGAGTTGCATTTGGTTCCGCAATGGGAAGGTTTTTCTTTTGTTAATGAGTGAGTTTACTTTTGTTATTTTCGTGTCTAGTCCCGTTTGGTGGTTTCCTCATTGCCTCTAAACCCTTGTGGTACTCGAACTACAACTCGGACTGGGGAGAAGTGAACAACTACCGACCATTGTTTAGTTTCAGATGTCCTTGATTCTAGCTTCGACATTTTCAAATCGGCTCCAGCAACGGGCCGATTTGAAATTCAGAATCTTCCTTGCTAGAAGCCCTGGCATTTGTAAATTCTCCTTGTTCCTGCTCATGTCAGAAGTAAATCCTTAGAGTCATACCGTCATTGCTCTTAACTATATTTTTGGTTGATTCATACCTTTTCAGTTATTTTGAACGTTTCATAGTCTTTTTTCCATTCTCTCAACTCATTTTCTCCACCTTCACACTCCTTAAGTTTGACGGAGTATTTTGTAACGTTGAACGAGTCAAAGTGTGAAATATTAAAAAATGTCTGAAAACCATTTTTCTTGATCTTTTTCTTGGAAAAATCTGTAAACATTTGACAACTCTTTGTTATTAACTCTTTAAAATTGAATTTTTAAATTTTTTAGTCTGACTGAACAAGGCACACCAATGCCAGAATCATTTTATTTAATTGTCTTCACAGAGGGTTCTGGTCACGAAAATATTCTTCTTCTTGGAATAAAAAAGACGGCTGAACAATTTGTTAGTTTCAAAGGGAATTATCTTGGTATTTCTTTTTTTTATATTTTTACTCGTTTCTTCTTATTTAAAAGGTGATTATTATACTTCAATCAACCTTCTCGATAAACTTGTTTCAAATTTTAACTACTATTCTTTTGTTGAAACAAAATGTCGTTGCCGTTTTGACGTTTTACGTGACAGCATTTTTATTGAAAAAAGTGGACATTTTGTCCCAGCAATGTTTATAATTGAGGCGGAATGGATAGATGAGAAGAAGGAACAGAATAAAGCAAATTCTTCTCAAATGGAAGCTCTTACAATGCCACCGGAAAAGGCTGCGGCTATTATTGTAAGAAAAATTTTATCTTTTTTATATTTTCACACTCCTTAAGTTTGACGTATTTTTCTTGTGACGTTGAACGAGTCAAAGTGTGAAAAATTAAAAAATGTTTTTAAAAACACTTTTTCTGACCTTGTTATAGTTGGAAAAAGAATAAGGACATTGACAAATCTTTATTTTGGTAGTACTTTAATCCTGAACGTGGCTGGGGCGGGGAACCCGAAACCCGGTCTTACTGACCCGAAACCGGATCCAAAGAAAATTTTTAAACTCACAATCAACCAAGAACCGATCCGACTCTGTTCTCAATTCTGGTTATCCTTCAACAAATATTTTAGAGTTCTCAACAAAATTCTGATGTTTTCAATTTTAGCGATTCAAGCCAGGATGGTTGGACAGCCGTATAGTCTTAACTGACCGTATCAATGAACTTCGCTATCTTGCTGGACTTATTGCACATTTGCGTGAAGGAACGTCTCCATGGACAAAAGAAAAAGTTTCAGAACAACCAGAAATTATTGTTCGTCTCAAACAATTGATAAATGAAGCAAATTCGGATTCTCAATCAGTTTTTCCATTTGATTTTACTGACAAACTTTGGGACGTTTTAAAATTGTCAAAATCATTTGACACACTTCGCCAGGCTTTCCAACTTTTGTATGATCAATTACAAACTGGAGAATTTCGTGTTTTGGTTGGAGCTAATCGAACATCTTCTTTGGCTAAAATGTTAAGAATGCAAAATCCGAATGATATAGTTTTTCCTCGATTGGAGATGATGACTTGTTTACAACTTTTGGTGGAAATTGGTGTTGATCGGTTCAATGGAGAACTTGTTTATCGTTTTTTGCAAGGACAATATTTGCCTAATAGCTCAGATTTGGATCCTTTCTTTTTGCCATCAATGGCTTCTTTGGAAAGTACTATTGAAAGACTTTTGCCTTTGCATTTTGCTCTTCAATCTATGGTTTTTTTTTATTAAAAAAAATTTTTTTGGGAGGGTATTTTAGTTTATGGAATTCGAAACCGGGCTGAGACCGGATTTTTAAAACACAAAACTAGGATGCCGGGCTCAGAAATTTGAAAAATTTAAGGTGGCTCGAATTTTCTCTCTTGACTAAGAATCGAATTTTTTTCACGGGCTGAGATTCACTGTCTGTCAAAGCGACTCGAATCTCTTTCAGAGACGTATCTTTTCATAGTTTTTAGTAAGTTTTGGACTTGAGAAGGTGCCCTACTCATAATCATATTTCTTTATGATCTCTTCACTAATTAATTTTTTAAATAAAATTTTAAGATCATGATCGAAGGATATGTTCGCTTGCCAAAACATGAAATTGCAAATTTGGCAAAGTAACATTTTTTAAATTTATAAAAAAAATTTTTTTCAAAATTCAGACGTCTTTTGACACACTTTATTACTTCAAAAGGAACGGATGCATTTGAAAAAGAATTTGTATATAAAGCAAATATGGAAGACATTCAGCGTGAAGAAATTAGGTTTTTTGTTTATAATTTTTTAGAATTTTTTAGAAAATTTTTTAAAAAATTTTTTTAATTTTCAAAAAATTTTTTGAAAATTTTTCACAAAAAATTTTTTGTAGATCCTCCTTGACTGATTGGATTATGGAAAAGAAATATGCAAGAATGGTGTCTGGTGGTATTATATCATCAAAAACTGGTTCAATTTCAAGCGTTGTTCATATTTCTAAAAATTTTGGAGTTAAATATATTCCACCAACTTTAAAAGATAAAAAATCAAAATTAGATGTTAAAGAAGAAATTTTAAGTCCTAGAGAAGGAGGAAATCAAATTGTAATTATTGAAGAAGAGCAACAGGCTAAAAATGCAAAAGAAAGTTTTGAGACTATTTATATGACTATTACGCGTAATTCACTTAATCCTTTTGTTTGATGATGAGGAGAGTTTATTTTTAATTTATTTTTGATCTTGTAGAGATTGAGATTTTTGAAAAGCCTGGACCTGTTCCTGGACTCAGAAGTTTCATTTCTTGAGCTGGATTGGATCCTGGGCCTTGTAGTCCAGGAAAAACCCCAGGAAGGGCAATAAATGCCTGAACCTGGACTCTGAGTACAGGAAAAATTCAGGCCTTGGTCCAGACCCAGCTCGATTCCTACTGCATTGCCTTTATATATACACGTGCAATTTCTCTTATGTGTATTTTTGATTTGTATGATGCTCATTTATATAAAGAAAATAAAAGTTATGGTCTCTCAATTAAAATTTTGTTAAATTTTTTATTGAAAAAAATTTAAATATTTTAGAGTAATTTTAATTAAAATATAATTTTTAAATTTTAAATTTAGATAAAAAATGTTTGAAAAAGATGCTATAAGGGATTCGTTTAATGAACTTATTCAGTTTCTTCATGACAAGGTTTGTTAGTTTTTGGTTAAATGGTTGGATCGGGGATTGATCTCGGGGTTTCATTCATGCCAAGTGGACGGGCTGTTCTGTTAACTTCGCACTGAATAGTAAAATTTTGGATTTTCTTCATGACACGGAATCGCTAAGTTCTTTCAAGTTCCTTTGTGACAGGGTTTGTCATTGTTTTTGGTTGAATTGTGGCTGACAGTTGAAGATCGAATCCTGACCCTTCTAGATTAAAGCTGGGTGCAGGATTTGTCGTGGTTGAAACTTTTGGTGTATTTGTTTTATCCAGAAAAAACTTCGGGTCGTGGTCCAACCCTAGGCTTAGTTTTACTTCCTTTTGTAAGGGCTTCTGTTAAATGTTCAAATCCGTTAATTAATTTTTACATTCGAAAGAATTTTTTTAGGAATTTGACAAAGCTGAACGTTTATTAGCAGAACAACCCAATTTGCGTCAATATTCAGATTCAACTGGACGTAAACCTTTTCATTATGCAGCAATTTCTGGTTATTATGAATTTGTTAAAACTGAAATTGAAAAGAATCCTTCGATGGTTTATGTAGTAGATGATGATAATTGGACTATTTTAATGATGGCAGCTTCTGCTGGACAATTAGAAATTGTTCGTCTTTTATTGAGTTATTCAAAGAAGGATGATTTTTTGAAGAGTTTCCCATTGCGGCATATTAATCAAAAGTATTTTTTTACATTTAATTTTTTTGAATAAGAGTGATCTTTTAGGGGAAGTGAGTAGTTGAGTTCGATTAGGTAAAGATTTGAAGGTTGAATGAGTGATGGGTCGGGTTACTCTAATCCCAATTCTTTCCGACCTGAAACCCGATCAGCGAAAATTTTTTTTGAGAACCCGCCTAACCTGTCCCAGGACCCATTCCCGATTCATATCTAAATTGACTTGGCTAGAATCTTTTATTGAAGAGGAATTTCCCTTATATTTTTTCCTTTAGGCTTTTAAGGATTTCTAGAATCCTTGTTTCACTTCTAAAAAGTCCTTTCTTTATTTTATTTTTATGACTCATTACTTTTAATATTTATATATTACATCCACTTTTTTTGTCATCCTCTAAAAATAAATAAATTACGGTTGTGTTAAAAGTAATTTAATAGAAGATATGATCAATTAAAAAATATGTAATGTGTTCATTTATTTTAACATAGAAAAAATTACAAAAAAAATGAGAGGGGAAAGGGTGGATGGATGTGACAAATACCCTTTTGACAAATATTGAAATCATTTAAATTATTTATTTTAGAAACAGTTCTGGTCTGTCAGCTTTACATTATGCCTGTTCTAAAGATCATTTACAAATTGTGCAAGAATTGGTTTGGTTTTTATTATTTTTTTATTTATTAAGGGATATTTTTGAAAAGAATATTTTTCTACTGGAATTTTAGGAGATTTATAGTTGACCCTGAATTTTTGTATTCTCCGTGGTGCTGACAAAGCTACTTAAAATTGGGTATCTTCTATTACTGTTAGATGGCTACTCCCTGAAACGTTTCACAATACGAACTTTTCATGATACTAACAATTAACCCCCCAAAATCCTTTGAAACACCAAAAGTAGCCAAACTGTCCAAACTCAACAAAAAATGAATTTAAAAATTTCTTCGCAACTAATCATTATTTAAATTTAGCTTGAAAAAGGTGCTGATATAAATGCTCAAGATGATAGAGGAGCAACACCTTTACATCGTGCTGCAAGTAAAGGAAATAAAAGAATCGTCAATTTCTTGTTAAATTATAAAAATCAAATTCAAGTTAATTTGGTTAATCGAGAAGGAGATACTCCATTACATTTGGGTAAGTGAAGATTTAATATAACCGACTCATTCTCGAGGGCACATTTTGTGCCATAACTTTTTTGATTTTGAACCGATTTAAATAATTATTATATCAATCGAAAGCTCTAAATGTGAGGATTATCTAAGCCTAAGGGACTGATTTGATCAGATAATCCTACAAAAAGTTACATTTGGGTAAGTGCGCTAGATCGTGATTTTTGGTCTTTATTTGGCTATAACTTTTTGTATGTTGGTCTGATAAAATCAGTCCTGCTAGCTTAAATAATCCACACATTCAAAGCTTTCGATTGGAATAATAATTATTCAAATAAGTTAAGAATTAAAAAAAAAGTTATGGGCAGAAATGTGCAACTGAATCGGCCATATTGATTTTTTGTGTGTAAAAAAATTTTTTTTTGAAAATTTTAGCTTGTGAAGATGGACAATTTGAAGTTGCTATTTTACTTGCAAATTATGGGGCAAATATAAACAAAATGAATAGAGAAGAAAAAACTCCTTTGGATTTGGTTAAGGATGCTCAAGTGAAACAAAAATTAATTGAAGCGGCGAGATCGAGTGGATCTTGAATATTTTGAAAGTTTTTTTTAATTAAATTTAACAAATTATTTTTTGAGTGTGCTTATTGTTTTTAAAGGACAGTTTGGGATTTTTTTAGAGGGAAACATTTTTCGGTCCAAAAATTGGGGCTTTGCTTTGGGGAAAAAATTTTTTTAAACTTTTTAATTTTTCTAGAGGCTTATTTTTTAATTTTTTCCATTTTTTGGAATTTTTTTGAGAGTTACTTTTTGAAGAAATTTTTTTCGAAAATTATCCTTTTTTGTTTATTTAAAAAATTTTTTTGGAAGTTTTTTTGAAATTTAAGTCTTTTTTGGGAAATTTTTTTGACAATTATTCTAAAAAAAATTTTTTTGCAACAAGCTATTAATTTATCAAAGTAGCAAAAAAAAAAGATCCTGTTTTGTAAAATTTATAGAGACATTGGACATTAGATTATTTAAACTAGTTTAATTTTATTTCCATTAGGACACAGTATTTATTAGCGAAAAAAAAATAAATTTAGAGGACTTGTCCTTTTTATTTTTCAAAAATGGCAATAAATTATTTATTTTTTTTTGGCTATCTACTAAATAAACATAATAAATTGGTTTTTAGTTTATAATTAAAGTTTAAAAAAATTTTTTTTAAATAAATTTTTAATTTTAAGCGCAAACTGTCCTTTAATTAATTAATTATTTTTAAATGGATAAAAATTTTATTTAAAAAAATTTTTTTATTTCTAATTTTGTTGTGTATTACATTCCATATTTATTTTTAATTTATCTTTTTTAAAATTTATCTTTTAGATTTTTTTTGAATTTAAAGAAAAGAAAATGGTTGTTGATTTGTTTAATCTTTTAGAAATTGTTGATCGTCTGAAGCATTTGAAACGCACAGGTATTTTATAAACTTTAGAAAAAATAGATTGGTTTAAGGAAAAGATTGGGCTTTTCGGATCGGGTTTGTCTCAAAAAATCCGGGGTTTTGGTTTACCCACCCCCCTTTCCCTAATTTAATACATTGAAAGACTACTAAAACACCAACTAATTACTGATCGTTATTAATTTGCTTAACCATTGGTTAATGGGTTCAAGGTTGGGTCGGTTCCTGGAAAATCTTAGAATACCCTTAATTAACCAAGAATTACAGATACCCGAACACTTTGTTTTTTTTCCAATTTTTATTGAGACTTAGGAGAGCCTTTGTTGAAGTCTACTCGTGTTATCTCCTTATAAAATTTGCTATTTAATTTAAAAATTTTTTTAAAAAAGGTTGGGTCATGTACGCCGTTGCTGAATGTGAAACTGTTGCTTCTCACATGTACAGAATGGCTATTTTATGTATTTTTAAAATTAAATTTTTTAAATTTATTTTTAAAGCAATGTCATTAGCTGAATGCCGAAAAGATTTGGATATCGATAAATGTGTTAGAATGGCTTTAGTACATGATATTGGAGAAGCGATAATTGGAGGTTTTTTTGTAAAAAATTTTTTTTAGAATGAAGTTTTTATTTTTTAGATATAACACCAAACTGTGGTGTGTCTGTTGAAAAGAAGTATATTATTGAGAAACAGGTTAAAAAAAAATTTTTTTTAATGAAATAGAATTTGTGTGTTACTTTTTAACTATAAGAAAACTTGAGAGGTGGTAGCGGAGATCAGAGGTCGGTCGGAATTCCGATTTCGAAAAAAAATTTGATTTTCGAGTCCCGACTTTTGAGTCAGTTCCGATTTCCGGCTCTTTCGATTTCCGACACCTCTGACTGTTCCGACCCACCTCTGGCAGAGATGAGCCGGATTGAGTCGGGGTTTCAATTTTTTCTTAGGATCGGGTTTCTGTGTCGAAAAACAAATTGCCATTTTGGGTAACCCCGTTCCTGGTATATGTAGTTGCTATAGCTGGCATGAGTAAAAGGAGTTTAAATTTTGTAGAAAAGACTTGAATAAGAAAAAAGTTGTGAAAATAGTTGGGCAAACTCGGCACTTGAGTTTTCTGGAATAACAAAAAAATTCTATTTTTTCCTATTTAAGGCAGTTGAACAAATTTCTACTTATGTACCAGCATCAATTGGAGAAAATTGGACTCAACTTTGGTTAGAATATGCTGAAGCATGCACTCCAGAAGCTAAAGCTGTGAAACAATTGGACAAACTGGCAAGTTTAATTTTTTTCGATTAAAAAAATTTTTGTGACCCGAGAAATTTTTTAAGGATTTTTTGGCTCAAGCATTAAGTTATGAGGAAAAGGATAAAACTTTGGATTTTGAGGAATTTTTTAATTCAACCAAAAATGCATTTTCTGAAGAACCTTTTGTTGAATGGGCAAATCTTATAAGGGAGAAACGTAAAGGTTTGAAAGAAAAGAATTTTGCTTAAAGTGTCTTTAAAGAGAGAAAGAATTTAAGAGAGATTTTTTAAGAGATATATAATTTTTTGTCCCTGATTTTTATCCCAAAATTTATTGCCAGTAGGGTATAATTGTCCCTTGCCAGTAGTGTTGTTATTAAAATTTTGAGCTTTATACAGTTAAAAGTAAGTGATGATTAGGGTTAATCTATTTCTTTTAAAAAGTTTTTTGGTATTTTGAAGGATTTAATGGGTAAGGGGACGGGTTACCTAAAGCCCGGACCTTTTTTTTGACCCGAAATCCGGTTCAACAAATTTATGAAAGCCTGGCACGACTTAACACGTCCCATCCCTAGTCGTGGATATGTTAAAGAGGAAGTTTTTTTAAAAAGCTGATGGGAAGGTTAACCCTAATCTTTGTGTGATATTGTGCAATTTTGTTTTTCTCTTTGGTTCATTTAAAATTTAAATTATTCCCCTCCTTTACCCTTTACCACACGGATTTGAACCTTGACTTTTTTTTGTCTTTCCCAATGTTCTAATAATTAAAAGAGCGTTTTTAAAGATTAAAATTTATTTTTTTAAAGCACATTTTTGAGATTAAAGCACGATATGTAGATAAATAAGAGAAAAATAAGGCAGAGAATCTCAATCAAAAAAAGTATGGCTTTGGGAGAAATAAATAAAAGAAATAAATTATACCATTTTTATTAATTTAATTATTCTTCTTCCTTATATTAGAAAGAAGTTGATGGATTCCCCAAGATTTAGATGCTGCCTGGTAAAGAATTATCGAGCCATGAATGCAGATAAACCTAAAAAAGAACAAAATTGGTTGTGGGTATAAAAATAGGAATTTTTAGGCTTCTTTTTTGGGTTATCCGCAACCCTCCTTTTACTGGGCGGGCAAAGGATTCCCTTGAAATTTTTTATATATTCATTAACAAGGACGAGTCAAGGGGTCGATCGGGGGGGGGGGGGGCTAACATGGGGTGTGCCCCTGGATTTTTCAGGCTGTATAAGGAAATAGGACAAGGGATACCTTATCATCTCCCTTTTACATATCTTCTAGCCGGACAGAGGATTCCCCAAAAAATTTAAAAAAAATACCAAATCAAATAAATATATTCCCATTGATAATCATAATTAGATTCTTTCCCACAAATTGTATACCATTCCACAATATCATCATCAATAACAGGTTTTCCACCTGGAACACAATGAAAATCAAAATATTCGCTTCCAGTTCCGTTCAAACAAAAATAGGTTGATTTCTCAATATCCTTCTTGGGGGAAAATTTTTAAAATTAAGGGAAAAAAAATTTTTACCGTTGAAAATGAGAATATTTCCGAGCCTAATAAAAGAGTGGTTTTTTCTTGGCATGGTCCAATAGGTTGATGAAATCCTCTACTAACAACATAAATTGGATTGTAAAACACCACCAACAACATAAGAAAAATAAAGTGAATGGAAACAACAAAAGAGAGTTCATCAAACCAATAAGGATTGAAAGGGTGTTTTTCAAGCTTATTTGAACGAATAGCCATCAAAATTTGGTAAGAAATTATAATTAACACTATTGTTCTTGTAGACAGAAAAATTCCATAAAGACAAATAGCACCAAGCAAACCCAAAACGAGTAATGAAGCAAGACTGGCGGAAATAGCAGCACAAAAAAATTCTTTGACAAACCTGAAAAAGTTGAAAAATTTTTTTGTATTTAGAGGCATTTACATTTTCCAATTGTAGGCCTCAAGTACAAAAATATGTCGTGTAAGATTTAATACAGAAACAAATATGATGATTGTAAAAGCATCATAAGCTGAAAATAAATAAAAAACTTGGGGGATTTCAATTTTTTGTCAATTCAAAAAAAAATAAAATGGGAAGAAAGGATGGACTTGACTCTTAAATAATTAAAAAATAAAAAAAAAACAAACCAAAAACTATCCAAGGAACACCATAAATCCTCTCTTGAGTTAACGGATTACCAGAATCCCAAGTCCACCAAAGAAAATAAGTTCCAAGAAAGTCGTATGGAAGTTTAATAATTAAAGCCTTAAAAAAGGATAAAAGAATAATTAATTTACAATAAATAAATTAACCAAAATAGAAGTTGCACAATATTGCATATCATAAAAAGCTAAAAATTTTAGCATAGAAGCACATTCTTGTGCAGGAGGAATAAAAGCCGGAATAAAAGCCCTTAAATTTATAATTTAAAAAATTTGGAAAAAAGGCCTTTCAGAAGATAAAAATTCGTGGTTCCTGTGGGGTTCGTTCGAATCCAACGACCTCCCTCAAGTTTCTCAAAATTTTCAAACCCAATTTTTTTAAATAAAACAAAAACCTTTCAATAAAAACAACAGCAGAATACATAGCTACATGCCGAACACCCAAAACACGAGAAATAGGGATTCTTCCACCACAAAAACTTAAAAGCCCTTGAGAATGCCATTGAATATCAAAAGCAGGCAACCAAAGATGTAGACATTCTTGCATAAAAGTAAGCATAGAAATTCCTAACCAAGTGTAAATATAACGTCCACCAAGACGAATAGCTAAGAAAAATCGGGGGAAATTTTAATTTTAAAGAAAATTTTTAAAGAAAAAACCTAACCATGAATTAAAGTAAAAGCAAACAACAAAAAATAAAAAATTTCGGCAGCAAGAAAAGTAAAATGATTTTCAAAGAAATTCCAAACATCTTGAGTTTTACAAAACCAATCGGCATACTAAAAAAAGAAAGAAAAAAAATTTAAATTTTTGAGAAAATTTTGAGAGGGGAGGGGGGGGGTCGTGGGTTCGAACCCCATTGACGCCCTGAATTTTTATTTTTAAAATAAAAAATTTTGTATACCTTAACAACAGACATTGAAGAAGAAGAAATTGATTTCTTTAAATCATCAGAAATTTGGAAAGGTAAATAATCAAAAATATAACGATCTAATAAATAATCCATTTTTCTTTAAAAATTAATCTGAAAAAAAAATAATTTTAAAAAATATTTTTAATTAAATTTTAAAATTAAATTAACTTCTTAAGAGGGTTTTAAAAAATAATTTAGAAGAAATTGAGACATTTAGGAAAAAAAATTTTTCCAATCTCTTATCATTTTTTTAATAGGACTTATTTTAAATGACATATACTTTTTCTACTATTTGGTCATTCAATATTTTATTTTATAGTTTGTTTATAGACAAATAAAAATATTTATAAAGGTATTAAAAATAATGTATAGTTTGTTTTTTTAAATTGGTTGTTATCTATCCATTTATAAAAATAGTAGTTAGTAAATCAATTTTCTCATAAATTGAAAATAAAAAAAAAATTTTATTTGAAAAAAATTTTTTGTTTGTTGAGTTATTATTATTTAGAGTTTTTTGTTAATTCAATTAAATTTTAAGCATATTAAAATTAAAAAAATTTTGTTTTGTTCAACAACAAAAGAATTAAATAAATACAAAAATGTCGCCACCAAATTCAAGAAATAATTCAATAAACGATGAATGTACCCCTCTACTCAGCGCTTGGTAAATAAAAATTTTTTTAAGAAAAGCTTAAAGTTTAGAAATCGGGGATTTAAAAAGATTAAGAATAAGCTTAAGCTTTTTACACACTATTTCTTTATTTCTTTCACTTCCTGTCATTTTTCTAGTTGAGTCTGAAAACTCCTAAAATTAAGGGCAATCACACATTTCGCCAATATGGCTAAATTCCCTCGTTTTGTCACACAGCTTGTTGGCAAAACGTATATTTTTACCCATATTGGCAAAATGTCGTTTGGCAAAATGTGTATACTCAAAATTAATTTATTTAAGCGAGAGAGTGTGTTAAATTAGGAGAGGGAAAAGAAATTCTTTTTTAATCCTCTAAAATTTTGACGTTTCATTTCTAACATTTTTTTCTAAAAACAGTTGTAAAAAATATTTTGTAATTAATTTTTAATTATTTTAGAGTCTTTCAGATAAAAAAAATTTTCAAAAAAAAAATGTCAGGGATGTCTAATTTAAATTTTGACCAACATAATTTTTCAAATCTCGATTCTAGTTCATTACCTTCAATGCTCAATGAACCTTTGACCAATGAACGACATGAAGGAGAAGATGAGGAAGTTGGAAGAGAAAATAGCCCTTTTATGCCTGAAAATGAGGAAAGAAATATTTTGTCTTTTCAAGCTTCAACATCTCAATCTGTTGAACAATTGAATAGAAGTCCTCGAAGACGTAATCGACATTCTAATAAGAGGAATAGACGTCGTAGAAGGATTTATAGTGACACTGACTTATCTAAAATGCGGTATTTTTTTATTTTATTGAGGGGAGACGGGGTCAGACAGGGTCCGAAACTTCCTTTGAGGTCTGGAATGAGATTTGAGCTGATGATCGGGAGTAGAGTTATTGGAATTTAGATATGGGTGCTTAAGGAAAGAACCATTCCAGGCAGGGGTTCTTTGCCTTTTTCTCCCTCTGAGAATCTCCTTTTGCATGTCTATAGACTGGCAATGAGGTTTAAGCTGATGGTCGGGAGGTTCGAAACTTCCTACAAATAAGAGTTATTGGGCTTTGATATTGAGGGGGTTCTTAAGAAAGAATCGTTTCCTTTGGATATATCCTTGTTGAAATAATTTTTTCATTTTTAGCCCATTAATTCTCTCACCATTTATGCCTACCTTTGCAACCCAAATTTCTGTTGATGCTCAAAATAGACGTCCAACAAATACTAGTCTACAAGGTATTCGGACAATATCAACAGCTCCTCCTCAACAACCAACATCAGCAACTATAGTGCCTACAAATATTTTTTTACCAAAAAGTGGAGTTGACAAATTAACTGTTAAAAATGAGACGCGCAGTAATCAAACAAGCAAGTATGGCTCTGTTCCAGCAATTAAAGTGAATAATGTTGTTACTGAACAAATGTTGCATCAAACGATACCTGAAGGTGAAATGGAATCTGATGAGTCTGATGATGATGAAGATAAAAGGTTTTTTTGGACTTGGGGGTTAAGGTGTTTGGGGTTGTTTCGGGGGCAGATTTTCCTAGCAGACGGGTTGGGTTTAGTATCAAATTTTCAAAGGCTTCGGGTTACCCGACCCTTCCCTGCCTCTTAACTAATTATTTTGAGAAGGGAATGGGTTTGTCAATTTGCCCGCAAATTATTAAAAAAATTAATTTTCTTAAAATTTTTTTAGTAGTAGCAGTAGTAGTGAATCTTCTTCTTATACTCGTTTTTCTGAATTGACAAAAAAGCAACTGGCAACCATTGGAATGTTAGCAGTAGCTAATCTGATGATGATGAAGATAAAAGGTTTTTTTGGACTTGGGGGTTAAGGTGTTTGGGGTTGTTTCGGGGGCAGATTTTCCTAGCAGACGGGTTGGGTTTAGTATCAAATTTTCAAAGGCTTCGGGTTACCCGACCCTTCCCTGCCTCTTAACTAATTATTTTGAGAAGGGAATGGGTTTGTCAATTTGCCCGCAAATTATTAAAAAAATTAATTTTCTTAAAATTTTTTTTAGTAGTAGCAGTAGTAGTGAATCTTCTTCTTATACTCGTTTTTCTGAATTGACAAAAAAGCAACTGGCAACCATTGGAATGTTAGCAGTAGCTAATCTTTGTAGTACAATAGCTTTTAGTTGTATTGCTCCTTTTTATCCTACGGAAGCTGAATTTAAAGGGTTTTATTTAATTTTTTTATTAAAATTGATTTTTATTTTAAGTATGAATACCTCAGAGATCGGACTTATTTTTGGTATTTTTGAATTGGTTATGTTCATTACTGCACCTTTTCTTGGAAAATATGTTTGTTTTTTAATAGAGTTCGAGCTTTTAACTTTGCCGGGCCTTGTTTCCGAGTTTTTTTTCCAAGATGACATGGGTAGGGGTTTACAAGCTAAAACCTGGGAAGGCGTGATTTTATCAAGATATCATATTTACGGACCACCGGTCCATGAAAACCCGGGTTCAGCCTAGGTTTAAACTTTTTCTGGGCTCTCTGTCCCGGAAATCCGTTCCTGGCCTGGATTCGTACTTAAGTTCTTTAGCTTTGTTTTTTAATATTTTTTGTTAATTTTTCAAAATTAGATGGCTTCTGTTGGCTCAAAAAGAATGTTTATAACTGGCCTTTTAATAACAGGCATTACAGCTATTGGTTTTGGAACTTTAAATCTTTTACCGGCCGGAAGAATTTTCTTTTGGTCTTCTTTAGTTATCAGATGTCTTGAAGCTTTAGGCGATGCTTGTTTTGTTACCTCTTCTTTTGCAATAAGCGCAAAATGCTTTCCTGGAAGAATTGCAACGATTGTTGTTAGTTTTAATTTTTATCAGAATTTTTCAAGGAATTTTTTCAAATTTTTTAGGGCATAATGGAAACTTTTGCTGGTCTTGGATATACAGCGGGTCCAATAATTGGAAGTGTCCTTTACGAATATGGCGGGTTTCAATTACCTTTCTTTGTTCTTGGCGTTCTGTTAATTTTTGCTACAGCTGTTTCTTATTTTTTAATTGAAAATATTGATGACGAACCAACAGAAGATGCAATGGGAATGCTTTCAATGCTTCGAATTCCTGTTATTTGGTTAATGGTTTTTGCTGTTATTATTTGTGCAATATCTTTATCTTTCTTTGATCCGACTTTAGCTGGACATCTTGCTCAGGTTTTTTTTCGTTTTTATAATTAGAAATTTTATTTTTTTTTCTTCGCGGATGTTTATTCAAGTTTTTGGATTCATCTTCCAAGGACGTAGCCAAGGGGCCTTCTGGGGCTAAAGCCCCCCCCCCCCCCCCCGAAGTGGGAGAAAGAGGGAAAAATTAGAGGAGAGATGATCAAAAAAAGCGAATTTTTTTCACATACGACCTATAAAATTCAAAAAATTCTTGCCTGCGGCGTTGAAAATGGGAGAAATCTAGTCCACTTCTAGTCTAATAAAACCACAATTATTAAAACGAACTCATTGTCAGAGGATTGAATGGATCCATTTCTTTAATCCCTCCAATTGGCATTAAAATCCCCTCCTAATTTTTTCCAAAAAACTTTTCTAGTTCAACTTATCAACAATAATGGTTGGATTTATGTTTCTTCTTTGTGGAGGATTTTATTGTGTGACTGCCCCACTTTGGGGTTTTATATTAGATCGTTGGCATTGTTGCAATTTATTAATGCTTTTTGGTTCTACAGCAACGATTTTTGCAATGCTTTTTGTTGGACCTTCTCCTTTTTTGGATATTGACAAGTTTTCTTTATTTTTTTTACTTTAAAAAATTTTTTTTCTTTTAGAAATCTCTTTTTAATTGGTGTATCTCTAGCAATTTTGGGAATTGCAGCAGGTTTCTTTTTAAAATTGGGGGTTGATATTAACGGGTCGGCATCGATTCTACGGAAACATTGTGACAGGGTCTTCTGGTGGGGACCAGAGGTGGGTCGGAAATGACTAAGGTGCCGGAAATCGGAAGTGGCTCAAAAGTCGGAAATCGGCCTAAATTTTCTGAGTTTTCCAAACTGTGGTGTGTCTGTTGAAAAGAAGTATATTATTGAGAAACAGGTTAATATTAATTTTTTATTTTTAATGAAATGAAATTTGTGTTACTTTTTTACCAATAAGAAAACTTTATTGTGAGAGGTGGTAGCGGAGATGAGCCGGGTCGAGAAAAAAGTCGGGGTTCCAAAATTTTCTTAGGATCAGGTTCTGGGTCGAAAAACAAGTTGTTATTTCGGGTAACCCAACCCATTCATGTTAGAGATCGGTCTGGGTCTGGATCCAAGCCTGGGTTTTTCCTGTACCCAAACTATATTTTGTAGAAAAGACTTGAATAAGAAGAAAACTAAAAATAATTGGACAAACTCGGCCCTTGAGTTTTCTGGAATGACGAAAAATTCATTTTGTTTTCAATTTAAGGCAGTTGAACAAATTTCTACTTATGTACCAGCATCAATTGGAGAAAATTGGACTCAACTTTGGTTAGAATATGCTGAAGCATGCACTCCAGAAGCTAAAGCTGTGAAACAATTAGACAAACTGGCAAGTTTATTTTTTTACGGTTAAAAAAATTTTTTTGACCCGAGAAAATTTTTTCTAGGATTTCTTGGCTCAAGCATTAAGTTATGAGGAAAAGGATAAAACTTTGGATTTTGAGGAATTTTTTAATTCAACCAAAAATGCATTTTCTGAAGAACCTTTTGTTGAATGGGCAAATCTTATAAGGGAGAAACGTAAAGGTTTGAAAGAAAAGAATTTTGCTTAAAGTGTCTTTAAAGAGAGAAAGAATTTAAGAGAGGGTTTTTTAAAGAGATATATAATTTTTTGTCCCTGATTTTTATCCCAAAATTTATTGCCAGTAGGGTATAATTGTCACTTGCCAGTAGTGTTGTTATTAAAATTTTGAGCTTTATACAGTTAAGTAAGTGGTGATTAGGGTTAGTCTTTTATTTTTTATGAAAGGTTTTTTGGTATTTCGGAGGATTTAATGGGTTCTAGGCAAGGATGGGACGGGTTACCTAAAACCAGGACCCTTTTTCGCCCTAAAAACCTATCAGAGAAATTTTTGAAAACCTGACACGACTTTTTCCTCACCCCGTCCCATCCTGGTCGTGGATGATACATGTTAAAGAGGAATGGGAAGGTTTTTTAGATAGTTGATGGGAAGGTTAACCCTAATCTTTGTGTGATATTGTGCAATTTTGTTTTTCTCCTCTTTGGTTAATTTAATCATTTAAATTATTCCCTTCCTTTACCACACGGACCTTGACTTTTTTGTCTTTCCCAAATGTTCTAATAATTAAAAGAGCGTTTTTAAAGATTAAAATTTATTTTTTTAAAGCACATTTTTGAGATTAAAGCACGATATGTAAGATAAATAAGAGAAAAATAAGGCAGAGAATCTCAATCAAAAAAAAAGTATGGCTTTGGGAGAAATAAATAAAAGAAATAAATTATTGTATACCATTTTTATCAATTTAATTATTCTTCTTAACATTAGAAAAAGGATGTTCGATTCCCCAAGATTTAGATGCTGCCTGGTAAAGAATTATCGAGCCATGAATGCAGATAAACCTAAAAAAAGAAAATTAGTTTTTTGGTTATCCTCGTCTCTCCTTTTATTCAACTTCTTAGGGAACTCTCTGTCCGGCTAAAAGAAGAGATGAGGATAATCAAAAAAAATACTAGAAAAGGAAAAATATATAAAAAAATTTAGTTGGGGTTTACAAAAATATTTTAGCTTTTTTAGAAATCTTTTTAGGCTATTCTCATCCCTTCCCTTATTAGCCGGACAGAGGATTCCCCAAAAAATTAAAAAAAAATACCAAATCAAATAAATATATTCCCATTGATAATCATAATTAGATTCTTTCCCACAAATTGTATACCATTCGACAATATCATCATCAATAACAGGTTTTCCACCTGGAACACAATGAAAATCGAAATATTCACTTCCAGTTCCGTTCAAACAAAAATAGGTTGATTTGTCAAGTTTCTTTAGAGGAAAAATTTTAAAATTAAGGGAAAAAATTTTTACCGTTGAAAATGAGAATAGTTTTCCCAAGCCTAATTTTCCCATTTCCAAGCCTAACTCTTCTCTGACTAGAGGAGATTTTTCTTGGCATGGTCCAATAGGTTGATGAAATCCTCTACTAACAACATAAATTGGATTGTAAAACACCACCAACAGCATAAGAAAAATAAAGTGAATGCAAACAACAAAAGAGAGTTCATCAAACCAATAAGGATTGAAAGAGTGTTTTTCATAGGTTAAAATAGCATCAATAACCATAAAAATTTGGACAGAAATTGCAATTAACACCATTGTTCTTATAGACAGAAAAAACCCAAAAATAACAATATTAGTAGATATAAGCGTGAAAAATAAAAAAGCAACACGGGCGGAAAGAGCAACCATCAAAAATTCTTCGACAAACCTGAAAAAATATTTTTCAATTTTTTTTGTATTTAAAGGAATTTACTTTTTCCAATCATAAGTTTCCTCAGCAGCAAAATGTCGTGTAAGATTTAATACGGAAACAAATGCAGAGATTAAAGAAGCATCATGAGCTGAAAATAAATAGTTTGGTTTGAGTAGTGGAAAAATTATGAGGGTATATTTTGAGGTACATAATGCGAAACCAAACCCTTCCCCCAAGGCCGTTAAAAAGTTCAAAATATACCCTCATAATTTTTCCACTACTTAATAATTAAGTTAATAATTATTAAGTTTAATAATTACCCTTAATTCTAATTCAAAAATTAAAAAAAAGCAAACCAAAAGCTATCCAAGGAACACCATAAATCTTCTCTTGAATTAACGGATTACCATAATCCCAAGTCCACCAAAGAAAATAAGTTCCAAGAAAATCGTACGGAAGTTTAATAATTAAAGCCTTAAAAAAGAAGGATAAAAGAATAAATAATTTAACTAAATTAACCAAAATAGAAGCTGCAAAACTTTGTATAAAATAAAAATTAAAATAAGCCAAATGTTCTAGTATAGAAGAATATTCTCGTGGAGGAAGAGTAATAACCCTTAAATTTATAATTAAAAAAGGGAGGGGGGTCGTGTGTTCGAACCCCTATGGGGCCCGTATTTCAGAAAAAAGTTTTTATAAAAAAATTCGGGCCCCAGCGGGGTTCGAACCCCGACCCCAGCAATTTTCAAACTCAATTTTAAAAAAAATAAAAAACAAAAACCTTTCACTAAAAATAACAGCAGAATATATAGCTACATGCCGAACACCCAAAACACGCGAAATAGGGATTCTTCCACCACAAAAACTTAAAAGCCCTTGAGAATGCCATTGAAAATCGTATTGCGGCTTCCCAAGTTGAAAATATTCCTGATGGAAAATCAACATAGAAATTCCTAACCAAGTGTAAATATAACGTCCACCAAGACGAATAGCTGAAAGAAAATCGGGGGGAATTTTTATTTTTTTAAGAAAAAATTTTTAAGAAAACTAACCATGAATTAAAGTAAAAGCAAACAACAAAAAATAGAAAATTTCAGCAGCAAGAAAAGTAAAATGATTTTCAAAGAAATTCCAAACATCTTGAGTTTTGCAAAACCAATCGGCATACTTAAAAATAAAGAAAAAATTTTTTTTAATTTTTGAGAAAATTTAAGGGGGAGGGGGTTGTGGGTTCGAACCTCAGTGGGGCCCTGAATTTTTATTTTTAAAATAAAAAATTTTGTAAACCTTAACAACAGACATTGAAGAAGAAGAAATTGATTTCTTTAAATCATCAGAAATTTGAAAAGGTAAATAATCAAAAATATAACGATCTAATAAATAATCCATTTTTCTTTAAGATTAATCTGAAAAAAAATAATTAATTAATTAAAAAATATTTAATTAAATTTAAAATTAAATTAATTCCTATAATTTTTAAGAGGATTTTAAAATAATTTTAGAAGAAATTGAGACATTTAAGAAATTTTATCTTTTATCATTTTTATAGGGACTTGTGTAGTTTTTTAACTGACACATTTTTAACGGTCATTCAATAATTTTTTTATTTTTTATTTTATAGTCTGTGTAGACAAATAAATACTTTTTTTCTATAAATAAAGGGTAATACATAATTCTTCTATTAAAAAAAAGGGTAAATAATAGTTTATATTTTTTTAAAGTATTTATTTGTTATCTATTTATAAATAAGGTAGTAAGTAAATCAATTCCCTCATAAATTGAAATAAAAAATTTTTTTTGTTAAAAAAAATTTGTTGAGTAATTCTAATTATTATTTAAAAAGTTTGCTTGATTTTAAGCATATTAAAAAAATTTTAAATTAATTTTAATTAAATTAAAATAAAGAAGCTTATTAATTTTGTTTTGGAGAGGAAAAGAAACAACAAAATTAAATAAATACAAAAATGTCGCAACCAAATTCAAGAAATAATTCAATAAACGATGAATGTACTCCTTTACTCAGTGCTTGGTAAATAAAAATTTTTTTTGTTATTTTATGAAAGCTTAAAGTTTAGAAATCGGGGATTTAAAAAGATTAAATTAAGCTTAAGCTTTTCAAATACACACTATTTCTCTTTTTCTTTCACTTCCTGTCATTTTTTTCCAGTTGAGTCTGAGAAAGATACAAAATAAGGGCTACACACATTTCGCCAATATGGCTAAAACCACTCGTTTTGCCACACAATTTGTTGGCAAAACGTATATTTTTACCCGTATTGGCAAAATGTCGTTTTGGCAAAATGTGTGGACTCAAAATTAATTTATTATGAACGAGAGAGTGTGTTAAATTAGGAGAGGGAAAAGAAATTCTCTTTTAATCCTCTAAAATTTTGACGTTTCATTTTTAACTTTTTTTCTAAAAACAGTTGTAAAAAATATTTTGTAATTAATTTTTAATTGTTTTAGAGTCTTTCAGATAAAAAAATTTTTCAAAAAAAAATCAAAAAAATGTCAGGGATGTCTAATTTAAATTTTGACCAACATAATTTTTCAAATCTCGATTCTAGTTCATTACCTTCAATGCTCAATGAACCTTTGACCAATGAACGACATGAAGGAGAAGATGAGGAAGTTGGAAGAGAAAATAGCCCTTTTATGCCTGAAAATGAGGAAAGAAATATTTTGTCGTTTCAAGCTTCAACATCTCAATCTGTTGAACAATTGAATAGAAGTCCTCGAAGACGTAATCGACATTCTAATAAGAGGAATAGACGTCGTAGAAGGATTTATAGTGACACTGACTTATCTAAAATGCGGTATTTTTTTAATTTTTAAATTTAATTTACTGAGGGGAGAAAGGGACAGGCAAGATTTTTTGCGGTCGGATAGTTCTATAAATTTTTTTAACCCATTAGTCTGGGCCAGACTTTTTGAGATTTAATTTTGAAATGGAGGCTTCCTTCCAGGCAGAGTCCTTTACACTGTATAAACCTGCCGGACTTTTAATAAAACCTTTCCTAATCCCTTCTCCCTCATGAAAATTTTCTTCCTTTTATTATTCTATTATGACATATTGGATTTTTTTGGGCAAGGGGTCTTGCTGGGTCTGTTGGTTTCTTTCTTCCATCTGAGAAGCTCCCTTTTCGAGTCTATCTGCCATTGAGGTTTAAGCTGATGGTCGGGAGGTTCGAAACTTCCTACTAATGAGAGTTATTGGGCTTTGATATTGAGAGGGGTCTTAAAAGAAGAATCGTTTCCTTTGGACAGATCCTTGTTAAAATAATTTTTTCAATTTTTCTAGCCCATTAATTCTCTCACCATTTATGCCTACCTTTGCAACCCAAATTTCTGTTGATGCTCAAAATAGACGTCCAACAAATACTAGTCTACAAGGTATTCGGACAATATCAACAGCTCCTCAACAACCAACATCAGCAACTGTAGTGCCTACAAATATTTTTTTACCAAAAAGTGGAGGTGACAAATTAACTGTTAAAAATGAGACGCGTAGTAATCAAACAAGCAAGTATGGCTCTGTTCCAGCAATTAAAGTAAATAATGTTGTTACTGAACAAATGTTGCATCAAACAATACATGAAGGTGAAATGGAATCTGTTGAGTCTGATGATGAAGATAAAAGGTTTTTTTGGTGGTTTAGGGTGTTTGGGGTTGTTTTGTGGGCAGATATTCTGAACAGTGAGGGTTTGGGTTGATAATTAGGAAAAGAGTCTGATTTGGTTTTTGATCGGGGTTTCAAAGGTTTTTGGGTTACTCGACCCGTCCCTGCCTCTTAACTAGAAGGGAATATGTTTTGTAAATCTGTCTATAAATTTTAAAAACACTTTAAATTTTCCCGAAAAATTTTTTAGTAGTAGCAGTAGTAGTGAATCTTCTTCTTATACTCGTTTTTCTGAATTGACAAAAAAGCAATTGGCAACCATTGGAATGTTAGCAGTAGCTAATCTTTGCAGCACAATAGCTTTTAGTTGTATTGCGCCTTTTTATCCTACGGAAGCTGAATTTAAAGGGTTTTATTTAATTTTTTTTATTAAAATTGATTTTTATTTTAAGTATGAATACCTCAGAGATTGGACTTATTTTTGGTATTTTTGAGTTGGTTATGTTTATTACTGCACCTTTTCTTGGAAAATATGTTTGTTCTTTTTAAATAGAGTTTGAACTTTTTACATTGCCGGGACTGGTTTTCGAGTTTTTTTCTTCCAAACTAACGTGGGTCGAGGTTTTCCAAGCTAAACTCTTGAAAAATTTGATTTTATCAAAATATCCTTTTTAGGGCTGCTGGGCTTGGAAAACCCGGTTCCAGCCCAGGTTTGAACTGATTTGGGTTCTTGGTCCTGGAAATTCGGATCCAGCCCGAATTCGAACTCTAGCTTTTAGCTTCGTTTTTTAATATTTTCTATAAAATTTTTTAAAATTAGATGGCTTCTGTTGGCTCAAAAAGAATGTTTATAACTGGCCTTTTAATAACAGGCATTACAGCTATTGGTTTTGGAACTTTAAATCTTTTACCTGCCGGAAGAATCTTCTTTTGGTCTTCTTTAGTTATTAGATGTCTTGAAGCTTTAGGTGATGCTTGTTTCGTTACCTCTTCTTTTGCAATAAGCGCAAAATGCTTTCCTGGAAGAATTGCGACGATTGTTGTTTGTTTTAATTTTTATGAGGATTTTTCAAGAATTTTTTTTTCAAATTTTTTAGGGCATAATGGAAACTTTTGCTGGTCTAGGATATACAGCGGGTCCAATAATTGGAAGTGTCCTTTATGAATATGGCGGGTTTCAACTACCTTTTTTCGTTCTTGGCGTTTTGTTAATTTTTGCTACAGCTGTTTCTTATTTTTTAATTGAAAATATTGATGACGAACCAACAGAAGATGCAATGGGAATGCTTTCAATGCTTCGAATTCCTGTTATTTGGTTAATGGTTTTTGCTGTTATTATTTGTGCAATATCTTTATCTTTCTTTGATCCGACTTTAGCTGGACACCTTGCTCAGGTTTTTTCTTTTTATAATTAGTTTTATTTTCTCTTCTACGCGAACACGCGGACGTTTATTTAAATTTTTGGATTCATCTTTGTCCACCGAAGTTTGGTGATTTTTTGAGTCTTTTCTCATTATTCATACACGAGCTTTCACTTTTTGGTTCCCAATTTTATATTTTTAATCCACTAACCAATTATCAGAGGATTATATGGATCCATTCCTTTAAGCCCTCCATTTGGCATTAAAATCACCTCCGAATTTTTTCTCAAAAAATTTTCTTTTCTAGTTTAACTTATCAACAATAATGGTTGGATTTATGTTTCTTCTTTGTGGAGGATTTTATTGTGTGACTGCCCCACTTTGGGGTTTTATATTAGATCGTTGGCATTGTTGCAATTTATTAATGCTTTTTGGTTCTACAGCAACGATTTTTGCAATGCTTTTTGTTGGACCTTCTCCTTTTTTGGATATTGACAAGTTTTTCTTTGGAAATTTTATTCGAAAATGTTTTTTTCTTTTAGAAATCTCTTTTTAATTGGTGTATCTCTAGCAATTTTGGGAATTGCAGCAGGTTTCTTTTTAAAATTGGAGTTTGATATTACCGGATTGGCAATGTTTCTACTAACATTGAGACAGGGACTTCTAGTGGGCATTAAATCCTCTCCCGGAATTTAAATTAGCATTGAAATCCCCTCCCGCCGTTTCCCCTGGAATCTTTTTTCGAAGACTTGAGCTCCAAAGAAAGACTGACCTTCTATTTTAGCCCCTATTTTTATTTAAAAAATTTTTTTAAAGGTGCTCTCTATATTCCAACATTTCAAAATTGTCTTGACGCTGTAAAGTTAGTTTCTTTTTCAATTCTGAAAATTTCTTAAAAATTATTTTCTTAAAGGGAAAATGGATATGATGACTCATTTCAAACATACGGGTGTGTGTCTGGTGTTTTTCAATCTGCATTTGCCTTTGGGTTTTTTAAATATTTTTTTTTATTCAAAAATTTTAATTTTTTTAAAGAGCTTTTATCGGTCCAACATTAGGTGGCCTTTCTGTACAAACTTTTGGTTTTCCTTTAACAACAACTTTTATTGCTGGGATTAACCTTGTTTTTGTATGTTTTTTAATTGAAAAAATTCAAAAAATTTTTTTTTATTAAAAAAAGGTCTGTACTTTATTAATCTTTTTTTCTGTCAAACGAATGTCAAAAAGAAGAGCTTCATGTTCTGGTGTATCGAGTGACAGGGAAAACAATTTAAATTCACTTTAAAATTTGGATTTTACAAAAATAAATACTTTAACAAAAACACACACCAGAGATGCGCTTAAAAAATTATTAATTTTTTATTATTACATTTTTGTTTGATATTTTGCATCCTTAATATTGTATGATGCTGTTAATACCAATCGCTGAAATACCAAATTCTCAAAAAACACGTCGAAATACCAAAATTTGGGATTGTTAACAGCCTTCCAAGTTGATGGAGCAATCTTCCACAAATTGGTATTTTGACAGTTTTATGGGTTTGGTATTTCAATGTTTGGTATTTCAGTGCGCTCCCCGTTAATAACATAGGACATTTGCATTTTTTTAAATAATTTTTTTAATCCTAGTGATAAATTTTGATATTATTTTTTAAAAATGATTTGTGTTTGTCTATTCATAAAATGGATATTTTATTTTCCATTAATTCTTTATAAATTTTTAAAATATTTTACAGCGGGACTTTCTTGATATTGGGTAAATAAGCGGCATTTTTAAGTAATTTTGAATGGATGGCCCGGCCCTTATTATAATTTTGGACAGGCTGTTAGATCCCCAGGGGTACTTTTCTAAATTTTTAATAATCGAGGAAAGTTTAGAAATTTGAGTAAATAATTCAAAAAAATGTGGCGCTTAGTTGGCCAATTCCAACAAAATTAGGGCCGTTTCGATGCTTGTTAATTTTTTAAAAATAAAATTAATTTTAGGAATTTTAGATTTATTTTTAAAATATGGATTACCTTCAAAAGATTCGTTCATCTGTTGCCGCCCAAGTCCATTCTGTAGCTGCCCAAGTTAATTTAGCTTTGCCAGGTAATCCAATTCTTCGTGAATATACTGTTGGACAACAAGTTGCTACTGCTGGTCCAGGTTTGTGTTGGAAAATATTTTCGGCTACAAGAAATTCTACAAAACAGGTTTTTTGATTAAAAAATTTTAAAATTATTTTTTGTCTGTCTAGGATGTTTCTGTGTGGATTTTCGAAAAGAAGCAAATGGAAAATTGGTTAAAAGTGAAGAGGGAGGAATTTCCTGAAGTTTTAAAAAGAGGTGTTAGCCAATTGACAAGACTTATGCATCCAAGAATTTTGAGAGTAGAAAGAGCTTTGGAAGAATCTAGAGATTGTTTTGCTTTTTGTACAGAGGTTTTTTTTTATTTTATAATTTTTTGGTAGGAAGTAAAAGGTTTTTTCCCCTGCTTTAATCATTCAGGTTGCCAATGAAAATTTTTGGAATAATTTTTGTGGGATTCTTTTTTATAGAATAGTTTTTTGTTCTCATTAATCAAGTATTTGCTAAGGACGGGCAAGGTTATCTGAAACTCAACTCGACTTTTTTCTCAACCCGAACCCCAATCCTAAAAAATTTTTGAGAACCCTACCCTTTTCATAACCTTCCCAATTTCAGGTTTTTCTCTTATTATAAATTTTTTAAATTTATATTTTTTTTATTTAGCCAGTATTCGCAAGCCTTGCCAATTGTTTTAATGATTTTGGTAATATGCCTTCCACCACAAAATGTTTAAAGGACTTTTCTTTGGAAAGTATTGAAATTCGCCATGGGTTATTTCAGGTTTCTTTTGGATTCTTTAATTTTTACAAAAATTCTTTTAAAGTTATCCGAAGCTTTAGCTTTTCTTCACAATGACACAAAAATGGTTCATTCAAATATTTCTCCCAGTTCAATAATTATAAATAAAAAAGGAGATTGGAAATTGGCCAGTTTTGATTTTTGTATAGTTGGGGTTGTTTCTACACAAGAAAAGGTTTTTTTTAAAAATTTTTTTCTGAAAATTTTTAAAAAGGTCATTTTCGAAATACCCAACTGGAGCAGAAATTCAATCTCTGCTTTGTGCCCAGACCTCGATTATGTTTCTCCAGAACTTGTTCAGGGTGACACCTTTGACTATTCTTCAGATATCTTTTCGCTTGGAATGCTTGCCATTACTTGTTTTAATAAAGGAAAGTCAATTATGGAAAGTCAAAATTCTTTTGCTTGTTATCGAAAAATGTTTGAAAATGTAAGGAAAAAATTTTTTAAAAATTAAAAAAAATTTTTTTTCAAGTTGAGACATTCCATCCCTTCCATTTTACAAAATAAACAAGTGCCAGAAGAATTACAAGACGTATTAAGTAAATGTCTCAATCCTGCACCAGAACAAAGACTTCCCGTCATTCAATTTACAAAATTAAAATATTTTGAACATCCGTTAGTTAAAACTTTAAATTTTTTGGATTCGAGGAATGCTTTGGATGTGTCTCAAAAAATTCAGTTTTTCAAGGTTTTTTTGAAATATTTTTTGAATATTTTTTTAATTTTTAAAGAGTTTACCAAACATAATTCCACAATTCCCTCTCCGTGTTCAACTTCAAAAAATTTATCCTCATTTGGCTGGAGAATTTGGAACACCAATTTTAATACCTTTTATTTTGGAAAGTGTTTTTATTATTGTAGAGAATTGTAATAGTGAAGAATTTGTAGAAGAGATAATGCCTTCACTTGTTTTAGTATTTCCTATACAAACACCTTATCAGGTTCTTTAAAAATTTTTTTAGTTTCGAAATATTCTGAAATCTGGAAAAATTTTTTTCGAACCTTTTCGAATATTTTTTTGACATTTTTTGAATTTTTGGAATTTTAAAAATTTTTCCTAAATTAAAAATAATTTTTTTAAATTACAGATTGGCCTATTATTATTAAACAAAGTCGATTTATTCTTAAAAAAGATGCCTACAACTTCTTTAAAACAACATTTAATTCCTCTAATTTTTAATTCGTTGAGTAATGAAAGTACTAAAATACAGGTTTTTTTAAATTTATTTAAAAAATTTTTTTTTATTAAAAAAGGAGCTTTGTCTGTTGGAATTGCCTAGATTAGTTAAGTATATTGATAGAGAACAAATGCATACCCAATTTTTACCTAAATTACTTCGTATGGTGCTTGAGGCGAAGGAGAATAAGGTACTATTATTTTTTTATTTTTAAAAAATTTTTTGAATTTTTTAAATTAAGATTGTGGGTTTTTAGAGCTGTAGTAGGAATTTTGTTTGATTTTTAAAAGGTTTTGTGAGCTTTCTAAGAAAATTTAGAATAAACGTCTGTGGTGTAATGGGTAGTGTGTAAGATTTTCTGCAAGCAACTGCTGGGGTTCGAGTCCTTTTGCAGGATAACTTTTATTTTGCTTTCCAAAAAGCACGATTTCGCATTTTAGTTTGCGTAGTCGTTCGTCACGAAAGCTAAAAAATATTTTAAAAATTTGGGTGAGGTGATTATCTAATTTATGGTAAATTGTCTCAATACGAATTTTGACATTTTTTTTGTTAAAATTTTTTTATTTCATTAAAATCTTTTTTTCAGATTCGTATAGAAACTATTGCCTGTTTATCCAAATTATTAAATAATTTAGAACCTTGGATGGTTGCTGATCAATTACTTCCTTCTTTACCTAAAGTTAATAGCAAAGATCCGGGTGTTTTAATGGCTGTTTTAGGTTTCTTTTTAATTTTATTCAATTTAAAATTTATTTTATTAAGGTCTTTACAAATTAATTTTTGAAAATGATCGATTTGGAATTAGTAAAGAACAATGTAAATTTTTTTAAATAAACTTAAAAAATTTTCCTTTTAAAGGTGCCAAAAGTGTCATTCCCTTTTTGGTCAGTACTTCAATTGAAGCTTCTTTAAATCTTTCAAATTTTAATCAATTTGTTGATTTTATACATTGTCTTCTTGATAAAATGACTGCAGAACATAAACATTATTTGGGGAAGTTGAGTGCTAGTCAGGAAGAACAAAGGTTTTTTTTGAAAAATTTTTGTTGGAATTTTTAAATATTTTTTAAGAGAAGTCAACAATTTTATCGATTATTTAAATAATGGAAAAGTGTTGGAGGAAATAGTATCAAATGAAGGATCGCCTATAAAACAACAACAACAAACAGCAGCAGGAGTATCAATGGATTTGGGCGATTTAGATTTTTTGGTGGGCAGTGGAACAACAAAAAAGAATGAGGTTTGGAAACTTTATTGTTTAAAGGGTTGTCGATTCTTGGAAAAAATTTTTTTTCCAACGGTTAGGGAGATACATATATTGGTAAAGAGATATATCGGTAGGGACAGGCTCATAACCAGGATTTTTTTGAGGGGGGGGGGCAACTTGAGCTCCGGACTTTCCCCTCCTGGCTACGGGCCTGGGTAGGGAGAATACAAAAATAACTTTTTTTGGTATATTTACGGTGGTTCTAAAAACATAAAAACTCTTTTCTTCAAAAGAACAATGGATATCTGACAATGAAATATTTCGATATATTTTGAATCATGCCAGGAACCTTACCCGAAAATCCTCGAACCTTGAATTGGAAACCGACAATCCCTTTTAAAATTCGAGAGAAAAATTTTTTTTTAATTTTTCAGAAAGAAAATACTAACAATTTCCCACACGAACCTTCTTTTTCAACTAACAATTTAACTTCACATTCATTAAATCAACAACAAAAATCATTATCTTCATCATTTATTTCACCTCCATCAACACTTGTATCTTCACAAAATTTTACTAAAAATCAACAAGACGAACCTTCAATTAATTTTGATATATTTTCTTCAACAAAAATTAATTTAAATGAAGAGCAAAAACAACAACAACAAGGACCTTCTTTAGATTTTCTTGCAGAATTTTTACCTCCACCAACATCCTCCTCAATATCTTCACAAAAACAACAACAAAAACAATCCTTTAATTCTTCATCATTTCCATCATTACCAATTCCTCCTCCAAATAATAATTTTATTCCAATACAAAGAAAGAATCCAACAACTAATAATAATGATCCTTTTAATTTTTTAATAAATCAACAATTAAAAGAAGAAAATGTTAAAAAAGAAGATAATGGTTGTTCTTCAAATAATGGTGGTGGGGGTGATCAATTTACTTTTTTATTTAAATAAATTTTTATTTTTTGTCTGTAAATTATACCAGGGATGTTTTACGGGTTATCCAAAACTCTACTCAACTTTTCCCCTCTTAATCTCCTAAATGACTCGACCTGAGATTTTTTCGACCCGATCCGAATAAATTTTTGAAGACCCGACCCGACTTTTTTTCAACCTGTGGCATCCCTGAATTATACGAGTTAATTATGAAATTAATTAATTATTAACATGAAAGCTAATTTTTAAAAATTCTTTTTCCCTTCAAAAACTGCATAAACAAAGAGATTAAAAAGAAATTTCTAAGCAAAAATTTTGTAGAAAAATTCTTTTTCTTTCATAATCATATTTTTATTGTAAATAAAATAAAATTCTAATTATTAATTTTATTCAGTTTTTTATTTTTATTATCCACTTAAATGCGTTTTTAATCGCTATTATTTATTTTTTTTTATTTCACTAACTAATTTTTCATTACATGGCATTTTTAAATGAAAACTAGAAATGACCATTCTTACATTGGGCATTTTGTAATGTTCCCTTAGTTTTGATTTTTAGAATTAGATATTATGAAAGTTTACACTATAAAAATTAGAGAGTATATTAGTTAGAGAATTAGAGAAATTTTAGGCGTGTTTAAGAGTATTACCTTTTTTAAATTAGATGTTTTAAAAGTTTACATTATGAAAACGAGATAGTGTATGGCTAGATTACTTAGACTATCAGACAAATTTTTGAGAATTTTTTCCATTTTTTATTGTTTTTGACAAACTTTTTTGGTTTTAATTTTCTAAATTTAACAATTCTTTTTTAATTTTAGATACAACTTTAAGTTTAAAAATGGGATTTCAGACAAAACCTATTCTTATTGATGGCAAAAACCATTTGCTTGGACGTTTGGCTGCTATTGTAGCAAAGCAATTGTTGCTTGGCCAGAAGATTGTGATTGTTCGTTGTGAGGCTATCAACATTTCTGGAAACTTTCATCGTTCAAAACTCAAATTTTTGGCTTTCTTGCGTAAACGTTGTAATGTGAAGCCATCTCGTGGTCCTTTCCACTATAGAGCGCCTTCTAGAATCTTTTGGCGAACGGTTTGTTTTTAGTCGTAATTTGAAACTTTTTATCATTTTCAAGGTTCGTGGAATGTTGCCCCACAAGACAGCTCGAGGAATGGAAGCTCTCAAGAAGCTCAAGTGCTTTGATGGTTGTCCTCATCCTTATGACAAGAGAAAGAAGTTTGTTCTTCCAAATTCTTTGCGTCATATTGCTTTGAAGCCACGCCGGAAATATTGCACAGGTTTTAGCATTTCTTTTCATTATTTTGGGTATTTGGTTGTGTTCTTAACTTATTTGTATACGTGGTTTGAACTTGTTCCGTTCTAATATGGTTTTACGTTTAGTGACAACCACTTAACCAATAGCATTTAACATTGCTTGTCATTATGTTGGGTATTCGTAAAATTTGATTATCCTCATGGATTGTATATAAATGAATGGACTTTACATACTTGGTTCGACCCACTCTTTTCTGTTGACATAGTGTTTCAGTAATAATCGCTTAACAAACAGTTTTACATTCCATGTCCTTACTTTATTTCGTTTTTCGTAAAATTTTGGGAAATACCATCACTGTTATGTACTTATCTTGATATCCCTCTCCTCTCTCTGTGTTCCGTTTTTCGTTTAAGACAATCATTCAAACAATCATTCTTCCTAAATCTAATCATTTTTATTATTTAGTTGGACGTTTGGCACATGAAGTTGGCTGGCAATATCAAGGAATAGTTGCAAAACTTGAAGAAAAACGCAAGGTTAAAGGGACTGCTTATTACACTAAAAAGAAGGCTGAAATGAAATTGAAGAGACAGGCAACTGAGAAGGCAAAGCCGAAGACTGCTGTTTACGACAAAGTTTTGGAACAATATGGATATGCTTAAAAAGAGAAATTGTTGATTTTAATATTGTTCTAAGTTAAAGTTGATTATATTTGTTGAAAATAAAATTTGAAGACTTGTTTATTTTTTAGTAGAACTTTTATTCGAGAAATCGATTTTCCATGTTAAGCTTTATACAAAAAAGTCAATATATTGATTTTATCGATTAGTATCGATTTTTTGAAACTTAGGAATTTTTAAAAAATAAATTATCGATTAGTATTGATTTTATCGATTAGTATCGATTTTTTGAAAATTAAGAATTTTTGAAAAATAAATTATCGATTAGTATTGATTTTATCGATTAGTATCGATTTTTTGAAAATTAAGAATTTTTAAAAAATAAATTATCGATTAGTATTGATTTTATCGATTAGTATCGATTTTTTGAAAATTAAGAATTTTTAAAAAATAAATTATCGATTAGTATTGATTTTATCGATTAGTATCGATTTTTTGAAAAATAAAAATTTTTAAAAAATAAATTATCGAATAGTATTGATTTTATCGATTAGTATCGATTTTTTGAAAATTATAAAAATTTCCCCATTCCGCTCTCAAATGGTCGCTCTCAACCGACCTCCTTCTCTTATTTAATTTTTTTCTCTAACTACACTATTTCTTATTTCCTGCTTCTCTAACTATGGGGACTAAATGTCATTTATTTTTAAAATTGCATTATGCCAATTTTCACGTATTTTTAAACTGTTAATTTTTTTTCGTCTTTACATTATTCTCTAGCAACAATATTTCTTTGTTTATTTTCTATAACTTTTAAGACAAATGTGATTCATTTTTAAAATTTTATTTTAAACTTCAAAAAAAATTGATAATACAATTTGAACGTTCTTGTATTTTATTTACAAACTGTTATCATCCACAAAAGTAATTTGAGTTAACAGCCCAATTTTTGAAGGTAAAGGATATGGTTGTGGACTAAGTAGAGTTATTGTCTTCTTTGTTGTATCAATTCCAGTAATTACCAAAAATCCAACACACGGTTTTTGAATTAAAGTTTGGTCCATCTTTGAATCTGGTGGCATAAGTGCAATAACATGATTTAAAAGTTCTGAAGTAAACGGCACAGAAACAACCTTTAAAAATGTTAAAAATATTAAAATTTCGAGTGAGTGGGATCAAATGTCTTTTAATAGAAATGAGCTGATTTGGGTTGGTTACACGACGAAAAAAGTGATTCGGAGACCTGTCTTTCGGTTGTTTTTGGCTTCCTTTTTAAGAAGAGGATTGAGTGAGAAATTATCGACCTTCCCCAGTTTCTTATTAAACCCAAGACTATAGCCTCATCATATTATAAAGCCCTCATTTTCTTCTTAAATCAAGGACATTTTGAAAATTTTTAAAAAGGACTTAGTTAGGTCCGTTGAATATCAAAGAAACTTCCACAATGACTTTTGTAAATGGAGGACCCAACCTCATCAAGGAACCAAGTCTTGACTCCATCCTCGTTTAAAAATGAAAAAGACAAATTTTAGGTTCCATAAATAACAAGAAAGTTCCCAAATCCTTTTTTCTTACAAAAGAACAAAAATTTTCTTCAAAAAATTTTTAAACCTGTGTTCTATGATCTTCCACAACCATTCCAATAGGTAAACAAGAATCTGGAATTTGTTCCGCACCAATTTTATAAAGGCTTAATTCTTGTTCGTCTCCAATTTTGTCATAAGAAAATTCAAAAGAATATGGAGAGAAACGTAAAGATTTTGTTCCATAAAAGTACTTTAAAGAATTAAAATAAAAAAATATTTAAAAGAAAAAAATACTCGGTGTATAGCTTTTCTTCTATGAGCTATTCGCATTTCTTGTGGACGACTTTCTACGCCTCCGGATTTTGGAAGGTGTAAAATCTAAAAATTAAAAATAATACTAGAGAATAATTGCAGTGAGAAAAGTGGATTTCTGGCTAAAGTTAGAAAATGGGTTGCCACGGATGGGAAAATAAAGTCGGATCGCACTACAACGATAGAACTAAAACTAGAACACCCAAGTTTATGGCCGTTTTTAAAATTGGACAGCCACAAGAGCTTCACGAAAATTTCATTTGGTAATTGCCTTGAAAGGAAAAAGAAAGGAAAGGACGTTTTCCTTTTAAAGCTAAAAAGCTCTGTTGGAGGCGAAGGAACTACATTGATCTAGTCAAAGAACACCTTGTAATGATTTCTCCAATCCCAGGATTATTTTCAGGATCATATGAAATTAAGCCTACTCTAAAAATTAAAAAAACCTTCAAATAACTCGGCAAATCCTGCTGCAATTCAATATAAAGCCTCTCATGATCCAATACAATAACTACATCTGGTTCGAATGCCTCAGCTGCATTTACAATACAGGCATACCTATTTTAGAATTAATAGAAACATTTAAAAATTCAAAACAAACCCATCTCCTTTAACCCAACCACAAGTATTCACAATATAACCAGAACAATTACAATTTAATGAAGATTTGGCTTTTTGTTTAACCGCAACTGCCAATTCTTTTACCAACATATCATAAAGTTTTAAATTGGCTGAAGGTGTTATATGTCCAAACTTGAAAGTTTAAACAAAAATTTAAAGAAAATAAAAAAAATAAATTTTACATTGTAAACATAAGCAGGTTTTCTATCAAATCCATCAATTATATCTGCTGGTTTTTCAATATATAAACATCCAATAGATCCAGGAATTGATATACTACCCTTAAAAAAATTTTTTTGTAATTTTTATTTTAGCAAAAAAGAACTTTTTGTAAAAAATATGGCAAGAAAACAGTTAAAAGCAGTATCGGGCCCGAACAGGACTCGAACCCGCGAGTACCAAAATCTAGAACCTAACACAATACCAACTTAACCAGAAGAGAACTCAATTAGGAATGGAATTAAACTGGACATATGTATATTAAATTCTTTAATTTCCGCTAAAAGAAAACTCTCCTGTCTATCGAGAACATTTTCTACTTCTTAATTAACAATAAGTTAAAAAAATCTAAAACCTGTCCAATATCCAAATCAATGTAAAGTGGACTTCTTCCTTCTCTAACAGCATAATTACACAGGATTCTACACAATGTAGTCTTCCCAACATCTGTCGGCCCGGTAATCATTAAACGAGGGAATGTTGTGACTTATAGTGGGTTTTTTTTGGCTGGACCGATTTCGACAAATGAGGTATCATTCGAAAGAGCTTCGAAAACTGAGTCGAACTAGATATGGGGGAAGTTGGTCCGACAATCAGGGACCGAGTTACAGACCCCCGAAGTTTGAAAAAGAGAAGGGGGGAGTAAGCACATTTTGGGGTGAAAAATTCAAAAATGCAAATAATAGCTCATTCGACTCCTCTCGATGAGTTGAGTCGAATGACACCAAAATCAGCTTGATATCTTGATTTTGAGTCAAGATAAACAGGTTCAAAATGGTCAACATAAACCTATGGGGCGTAGGCGAGGCGCTTGTGCAAAACCCCGCGCTTCGCGCGGGGTTTTGCGGCACGCGCCTCGCGGGGAGTCTACGGGCGCTGGGTCTGGGTCAGTAACATAAACCTATTCCTATCTTCCTTGTTCTGGACGTACTTGGGGCCTCCGTAGCAGCAAAAACCTCCACATTGACCATAGGTAAGGAGCTAAAACAAACGATCATAACTTTGTCCAATCAAGTCGGATTTCGGTGATTTTGGTGTCATTCGACTCAGCTCATCGAGAGGAGTCGAATGAGCTATTATTTGCATTTTCGAATTTTTCAACCCAATTTGAGCTTACTCCCCCCTTCTCTTTTTCAAACTTCAGGGGTCTGTAACTCGGCCCCTGATTGTCGGACCGACTTCCCCCATATATAGTTCGACTCAGTTTTCGAAGCTCTTTCGAATGATACCTCATTTGTCGAAATCGGTCCAGCCAAAAAAAACCCACTATAAGTCACAATACCCAAACGAGGTCCTCTAGCCGTGCCATTTGGATCTGCCAACAGTTGACTTTCCGCAACTCTTCTTAACGATTCCAAAGCTGCATGAGTGTTCAAATAAATAATCTTTCAAAAAAAATTAATTTAAAAAAAATTTAAGGGAAACCATTGGTGTTTGTTGTGCAATATAAATACTTTCAGTCTTCCCAACTACTTCAAGTAAAGCCCCTTTATAAGTAAATATAGCAGCACGATAACCTTTTTAAATTAAAATTTGTAAATTTTTTCTAAAAAATTATTTAAAAAACCTGGAGGAAGTGTATAACGTTTATGCATTGATAATTGTGAACCAAATATTTCTGCTGTCCCTTCAAGCAATTCTAACAAAACTTCCTCGTTGCCAACTTCCAATCGAAGTTCATTGTCTTCATTTAATCGGTATTCATTGACTACACGTTTTTCTTTGTTTTCAGTCATTAGAAATAAAAATCTAAAAAGAATAAAAAATATTTATGGAAGCAAAAAGGTAATGAAGGGAAAAATAATTGCTCGAAAACACCGACGGAACTAAATGGTCCTCACCCAAAAATAAAATGCCAGTTGAGGCAGGACAGCTAGCTTTGATAAACAATAACTCGATTAATGTAAATTCGATCAGAATCAATTTTATATCGTTCGAAAGCTCTCGATAAGCGGTATCTTTTAGCCAAGTGGAAGGACAAGTCTGATCATTCATTAAAAAATTATAAACCGATAAGTCCTAAAAATACCAAATTTTTAACTTATTGGGTTGTAACTTTTTAATGGATACCTGATCCATTCAATTAGAAAAACGATAATGCTTATTGAGGGTCAAGTAGAAGATCAACTAGCGTTGTGAGATAACGAAAAGCAAAGATTTCAGGGGTTAAAAGAAACAAAGATTTAAGGGTTAAAACCCCAATTTTACTTCAAAAAACTTGGTCAAAAAATTACTTTATTCATTAAAAGGTCGAAAAATATGTGAAATATAAAATAAAAGAAGTGATACAAAAATCAAAACTAATATTCAAATAAAGCTAGAAAACTACAAGAATAATTTTTTTAACAAAAAAAACAAAATGAGGACTTTACAAAAAACGAGAATTTTCCTTTTTTAATTATTATGAATTAATTTTTAAAATTAATTTTTTTCTAATTTTTATTGTTAAAAACAATAATAAGAGGCTAGAGACGTGAAAAGACTGTCACTACAACAAATCCTATTATTAATGTCAAAAACGTATTCATGTTGTTAATCAATGCAGAATTACACGGGTTGTTGTTCTGAAAATTAAAAAAATTTTTTATTGAAAACAAAAAAATTTTTTTTTGAAAATAAAATTTTTTTTTAATTCAGGTGTGCGCAATTGAGTTTTTACAGTTACTTTTTTATTGCGTTTTTGGCGTTTCCCTTAAACTAATTCTTTTGCGCACACCCAAAAAAATATTAAAAATTAAAATTTTAAATGTGCGCAACTGCAATTTCACAATTACTTTTCTATTTCGTTTTTGGCGTTTCCCCTTAAACTTCTACTTTTGCGCACACCCAAAAATATTTTTTCCAAATTTATTAAATTAAAATTTAATTTAAAAAAATTCCTCACATCCGTATTAATGCATTGCCAAATCTTCAAATTAATTCCACTGTTCCCCGCTCTTCGTTTTCCATCCAATACTTCATTATTATATCCACATTCTCTCACAACATTATTTATTTCTGTTTTGCCAAACTCAACTTGCTGCAAAACTTTTCTACAAGATTCGGCTGGTCTTCCAACAAGAGGGCCATCAGGCAATACTGGGCAGGGCTGAGAAAATTAATTTTAAAAAATTAAAAAATTTTAAAAATCAAAAAAACCTTCAAAAACGGTTTAAGTTTATCCAAGTCAGTACTTTCACAATCCTTTTGCCCTTCATTGTCTGAATTACACACATAACAGCTAACTTGTCCTGTTGCATTTTTTGAAGGTCTAAAAATAAATTTAAAAATAATTTATTTAAAAATAAAAAAAAATTTTTCTTTTTACCCTTCCCCAACAACTAAATTTGCCAAAAATGAAAATTGATAAATAAATAGAGCAATAAAATAAGGCTGTCGAAAATTCATTTTTTGGTACTTAAAAATAAAATAATAATTATTTTATTTTTTAAAAATAATTTTCCTATCAAAAAAAACATTTTTTAATGATTTCATAAGTATATAAGAGAACACATTTTAAACGGATTAAAAATAAAACTGATTAGAAAAGTATATTTGTTTGTATGGCCAAAATTTATATCAGAAAAAATGATAAATAAGAGAGGACTTTGTCAAAAAATAAAAAGAAATTTTAATTTTAAAAAATGAAAATTAAAAAAATAATTATTAGAGTCTGAATTTTGTGGGTGATGAAACCCTCTTCAGGGTAAATATAGGACTCTTATGTATTTTTTAATTAACAAATCAAACAAAAAATAAAGACTAGAGATCGGTAAAATCGCATTTGCAGGATCCTGTATAAGGATTGGGTTTAAAAATTACACACAGGATAGGGATCCTGCAGGATTAACCCTGAAAACTGAAAAAAAGCAGGATTTCGGACAGGATACTGAAAAGTCCTGTGCAGAGTCCTGTCCTGTGCCAATCTCTAATAAATATAAACTTTAAATCGTTAGAGTCTGAATTTTGTGGGTAATAAATCCCTCTGCTGAGTATAAATGAGACTTTTAACGTCCTAATTAAAAAATCTTATTAAATTAAATTTAAAAAATAATTAAAAATAAACTAATTAATTTCCTATTAGATTTAAAAATAAAAAAAAAATTTAAAAAATAGCATCTATAAAACAAAAACTGTACAAACAAAAAAGAATCAATAGAAAAAATAAAGTAGTAGAGGAACTGACTGGCAGTAAAAAAAATAAAGTAGCAAATAGAATTGAGTATATTTTAAGAAAAAAATTTTCTATTCACTCTTAGAAAAAGAGGAAAAAGAAAATTGGCCGGGTGGCTCTGTCACTTTATATAAAAAATCAATATTTTAACCCTTAGGAGGCCAGAAGAAGTGTCATTTTTAGTACATTTTTTTAAATTAAATTTTTTTGTTTGCCAAAAAGAAAATTTAGTAAATTTTTGTGTAAACAAGGGAGGAGGAAATTAAAAAAGTTATACTTGAAATTATTTTAGATGATTTGGAGAAGTGAAAAAAATAAAGAAATTCTTTAAAATAAAGATGACTACTGGAAAAAAATTTTTTAAGAAAAGAAAATTAAAAAAAATTTAGGAAGGAAATTGACTGCCAAAATTATTTTTAAAATTTTTGGGAAAGAAAAAAAATAGAAATTACGAAACTAATAAATAGATCAACTGCCAAAGAGGTTGTGGAGTATACGGGAAGAATAAAATATCCGTTCCCATTTTCTTAATAAATTGGCAAATTAATGAATTTAAAAAATAATGACATAACCAGCCCACACCAACCCCTAACTTTAAACTTTAAAAAGAAAAAAAACAAACTAACTCATAATTCCTGCAAAAATCGAAGATTGGCCCAAATCACAAAATGGTAGAATTGACCTCTAAAATATTTTTGGAGATATTTTTAATGCTTCCATTTAACTTTCTTTTTTGAATTATAACTGATAAATATAGATTTAATAATATAAAAGTATAAAAATATTTCTAAAAAAATATTTGAATAATTAAATTATTAAATTAAAAAAATAATAAAATTTATTTTTTAAAATATATTATATAATTAAAAAATAAACAAAAAATTGAATAAAAATTAGGTAATTAAAAGGATTAGGATTTGAAATATTATCACTATACAGTCAATACCGGATAAGACGTCACAAATAAAAGATATTTTAAATATTCATTTTTATTCTTTCAGAATGAATACACACCAGTTCCAGCATTCAGATGCGTAATCAAATGGATGGCGTTTCGAATTGTGCTATCATAAGTACTCTCTTGGTTGTCCTGGACTTGTTGATTAATGTGGTCTTCAACCTCTTTTTCTAATTTAGTTCATTTTCAAATCGAGATGGCTGATCAATCAAGTTCCGACGTGGTCCAATAAATAAATAAAGCAGGACTAAAATCTCTCTAGGAAAGCATTGTGGTTATCAAGGAACAAGCGATCGTGCCATTTGCAACGCTCTCCATTTCATCACCGCGACTAATTTTGCTGGTGGTGTTGCTGTGCCGGAAAAATTAGAGATATTGTTGTTCTAAAAATTAATTCAAGGAAAGAAGCGGAAAATTTTAGATGTTGTGGTCAAAAGTATGGATGTATGCTCCGCCTCTTCGTTGTTACTGGCAGCCTGAATTATATCAAAGTGTCCCGTGGACGTCATCATGGACATGCAGGGACGAACGACAGAGCGGTTCGGAATGCGCTTCACTTCATAACGTCTGATAACATTGCTGATGGAATTGAAGTTCCTGAAGAGTAGACTCTCTTTCTGGATTCTACTCTTCAGGTCTCTCTTTCTGGATTCTACTCTTCAGGAACTTCAATTCCATCAGCAATGTTATCAGACGTTATGAAGTGAAGCGCATTCTGAACCGCTCTGTCGTTCGTCCCTGCATGTCCATGATGACGTCCACGGGACACTTTGATATAATTCAGGCTGCCAGTAACAACGAAGAGGCGGAGCATACATCCATACTTTTGACCACAACATCTAAAATTTTCCGCTTCTTTCCTTGAATTAATTTTTAGAACAACAATATCTCTAATTTTTCCGGCACAGCAACACCACCAGCAAAAGTAGTCGCGATGATGAAATGGAGAGCGTTGCAAATGGCACGATCGTTTGTTCCTTGATAACCACAATGCTTTCCTAGAGAGATTTTAGTCCTGCTTTATTTATTTATTGGACCACGTCGGAACTTGATTGATCAGCCATCTCGATTTGAAAATGAACTAAATTAGAAAAAGAGGTTGAAGACCACATTAATCAACAAGTCCAGGACAACCAAGAGAGTACTTATGATAGCACAATTCGAAACGCCATCCATTTGATTACGCATCTGAATGCTGGAACTAGTGCATACATCCTGGAATGAATAAAAATGAATATTTAAAACGTTATCTTCTATTTGTGACGTCTTATCGAGAGACGCTGAGGTACACGCTGAGGGAATTTTTAAAATTTATAAAAAAAATTTTAACCTCCAAAACAAACCCTAATCCTTCAAAAATAAAATTAAACAATATCAAAAGACAAAGATAATTGCAATCTTTCCGGTTCAGACATAAAATCCAACCAATCAGATTCATGATTTGGTAATAATCCCATTGTGTGACATTTATAAACTGCTAAAGCAACTGCTCCCAAATTTCCCAAAATAAAAACAATTTTGTGCAAAATCAAAGAAGAACCACATTCTTGCTTTAAAAATAATTTTAATAAAATTCAAAAAAAATTTAAAAGACCTCCATAACTTTGAATGTTGCATTTACTGACAAAAGTGTTTTTATTGGTCTCCAAACCATCATCATAACCATCATTATTGGAAAAATCGATATTGTGTTTCCAGCCATGTACATCATAAACCTGTTTTTGGGATGAAATATCATTTAGTTTTATAACCGGAGAAAGTAGGAATTAGGGCTTCTGACTGAGATAAAATGTCTCTTTGTAAAAATTTTATAGAATTGTCTTGTATTTAAAATAATGTGGATACAAATAGACCAAAAACTGTCAACTTCAGGACCCACTACAGAAAAATCTTTATTAAACTTAAAAAGGACTAAAAAATAAAATAAACAAACATGTTCATAGGTAAAGCCTTCAATGGTCCCAAAGCAACATCCCAAGCTCTTTTATTCAATAAATGTTGCTGTTGTTGTTCGTTCTTAGAAACAGTCTCAACCTAAATTTATACAAGACTATAGAAAAATTAAATTTAAAAAACCTGTTGAGAGACAATATATCCTTGATGATAACCTGGTGGATTTATAGTTTGGTCAGAAGCAGCAAGTTTAATAAGAGCTCTAGAGCCAGCTCCACCACCCAAGTCCAACTTCCATGTATACATTATGTTGACTGTCATTTTTAATTAAAAAATATGTTTAATCGAACTAGAAAACAACAATAAAATAAAGGAATTAAAAATACAAAGAAAAAAATTTGAATAAAAAACAATAGAAAAACGAAATTGAATAAAGAACAATGAAAAAAATTCTCTTTTATAATTTCCAATTTTTGTGTTACCATTTCGACTTTTGTAGTTGGAGAAGAAATTTCGCGGAATTATCTCATTCAAATCTAGGTAGATCGAGACCGCAGCGCTGTGACTGTTTTTCTTCCCTAAGCGTCTGTTTATTAAAGGTCGGCACGGGACAGGATCCCGAACGGGATTTACGCGATCCTGTCCCGAAATCCCGTATTTTAAGCAACGAACGAAAAACGAGTAGGCTAAAAAATTTACAAAAATCTTTTACCAAAAAAAAAATAAAAAATAAATCAAAAAATAATTTTTACAACTAATTAATTAATAAAAAAATAGAGATTATTTTAAAAATATTAAAGATCATTGAACAATTAAATCGGCAAGTTTTTCCCATTTTTTAGTTGAATCTTTAAATGCATATATTAGACAATAATGCTCCAAAAGTTGTGTAAGCAATTCACGTTCATCCAAAGGATCCAATTTTTCTATTCTTAAAAAATTTTAATTAGAGAAAAAATTAAAGAAAAGTCACTGGAAGGTCAAAAATTCGATAGAAAAATTTTGGAATAGTAACCATAAATTTTAGAAAAAATACAACCTTTGAACCTCTTGCTCCGGCAAAAATTTGGTATAAATTTCATTGATTGTCCATCCATTTACTGTCGAAAATCCAGCACTTGAAAATCTAAAAGTAAAAAATAGTCAAAATATAAAAATAAACAAAAAGAACCTTTGTTTTTGTGTTGATAATGATTCACAAGCAGCAAGGCCAGGTAAATGAATACCTCGATTATTTAAATTGTCAAGCATAACCTTGCTGAAGTTATCGTTCATATTGACCTAACAATAAGTTTTAAATTTAGCAGTTTCAAAAAAATATGAGTTTTTTATATTCAAAAAAGTCCGTCAGATTTATCCGCAAATAATAATTTATCAAAAACGGAAAATTTTTGAGAATATTTTCCATTAGGAATATAAAGAATCCTTTTCCTCAATATATACCCTTGAGAAAGTGATGAATATTGGCCATTTTGCGGACCGGACTTTTTCAACCTTGAATAGCTAGTTCCCGGAGCCATTGCGGACTCTTAAGACCATAAAGAAAACCCTCGAAAAAATTAAAAGAAAACCTGTTCATAATTAATTAATGCCAACGTTTCAAAATATTTTGTCAATTCTTTAATTAAATTGTATGAGTGTTCCAAATCCATATAAACAAATAAACATTCAGCAATAATTAAAGTTGGTTGAGAATTGTCTAATTCAGCAGTTGTCAATTTTTGTTCAAATTCTCGTATTTGCCTCAAATCGGCTCCAATTAAATGATAATCCCCACAATGTAGGTCACTATGCTGACTTTCAACAGCTTAAAAATTTTTAAAGTAGAAAAAAATTTAAAAAATATTTACCAGGTTTGCTAAAATATCCAGCCAAATTGACATTTTTGCTTCTTTGAATTAAACGAATTTTTTTGGATGTAACACTGCTAAAGTCAAATTCAACAAATTTGTTAAAGATGTGTCCACTTTCTTTTAAACGCCAATATAAGGTATCAAAACCAGCTCCCAAACTAATAATTTGACATAAAGGACCAGAGAACTAAATTAAAAATTAAAAAAGGGAATAAGAGAAATTTTGAAAGAAACTTTAATAAATTGTGAAACAAGAGAAGTAATTGCTGCTGTGCGAGCCCAATAACCTCGAACAATTTCTGGATCTCTGTGGTGATCAGCACAATAAATAAATGCTCCAATAAAGTTGTCGATGTAATATTTTTGCTGAAATTTAAATTATTTTTGATCTTGAAACATAGCAAAGCTAAAACCATAGAGCAACATATAAGCCTTAAACCTCCTTGGAGCTAATACTAGGCAGTTATTCTATATCCCTGTTACACTTCGATTGAGCTACAAAAAACCCATGACTAAGTGAGTTATAAATATGTCGAAAAACCCCAAAAATCATTAGACCCACGACTAACACTAAGGGGTTAACCCACTCCTGTTGGCCAGCTATAACTTTTGAGGCAACCCGTTAAAACCCCGAAACATTAAAGTATCATTTAACCCAGTCCCTTATAAAACACTCGAAACAAAATAACCTGAACAGCGACAAATTTACATTCCGTTGCATCATCATTTGTCTTTTGAACTGAATAATCATCAGAGACTGAAGTAGAACGACGTCGATGTCCAACTTCCGTGCTTAATAAGCCATTGCCAAAGTCAGCTTCTGATTCCATTAGTTGAGATTAAACGTAGTAAAATTTTATAGAAAATATGAATTATTTTTAATAGAAAAAGTAAGACAAAAATTCATGACTAAAAATCATTTAAACAATCCAGATACAAAAGATATAAGCCAATTTATCAAACAAATTGAAAGAAAAAAGCCTAAAACGAGCAAAAGTCCACATATTATACACAGAATAATAAAATTTTTTCAATAAAGTATGCGGACTCTTTCCCCCCAAAATAAACAAAAACTATACAAAAAATAAAATTTTCCTACAATCCTTCCTGAATACCGAAACCAGGTCCCTTTGGAGGTTCTGTTAATGAAGTTTTTGATTTTATAGGTTCAGAAGCCAATCTTCCACTTTTCGGGCCAGGCAAAGGTCTTTTCCCACTTTTAAGATCATCAATAATTTCGTTAATATCGTCAACAGTTAAATCCTCATAATAATCATCGTTTATCTTAAAAAGAAAAAATAAATAAAACTCCGGTTTCGACAAATTATAAGTGGAGGAACTTCAATTGCAGATACAAAAAAAGCTGGTGAACCCAAGATTTGGGAAACTCAAAAAATAAAAATTTTGGGGAACCCAGATTTGTGGAACTCAAAAAAATTAAAAAAAAAAGCTGGTAAACACAAAATTCTAACGACAAATGAATCCTCAACATATTCTAACATTTTCCCTTCTAACTCCTTCTCAACTTAAATAATTTTCCACCTAATTCACTAACCTCCCCAATACTCATTAATTTCCCAATCCTTATCAGGGATGGCCAAAATTGCTAAAAATATAAGAGAAAAGTAACCTGAACCATTGGAGCATTTACACAAGCACCAAGGCATTCAACTTCCTTAACAGTAAATAATCCATCTTTAGTTGTTCCACCAGGCTTTATTTCTGTAAAAATACGTGTAAAATAAATCAATTAAAAATTAAAACCAAGTTTTTTGCAGATAGCTTCCATAATAGTCTCAGCCCCGCGAAGCATACAAGGAGTTGTCCCACAAAGTTGAATAAAATATTTACCAACGGGTTCTCTGTTATACATTGTGTAGAAAGTCGCAACTTCGTAAACTCGCATTCGCGGAATTTCTGAGAAAAACTTTTATTTAATAATTACAGGAGTTAAAATACCCAAAATCCGAGCAACTTCATGCATAGCTGAAATTGGCAGCCATCTATTTTGGCGTTGCGCCAAGTCTAGAACTGGAAGTAGAGCAGCTTGCTAAAAAGTTGGCAAGATTTAAAAGAAATATGTACGGAAATCAGGGACAAATACCACTTAACCGTCCCAGGGTGGCCCTTTCCAAATCATTAAAAGTAGCGCGGCCTCAAAGGAGGCAATGCAGAACAAGGTGAAAAAGGTAGCTTGAAAGGTCAGAAGAGGTAAAATGCACCCTAAAGGTGGAAGAAGTGCCACCCTGAACCCTACAAAAAAATAATCAAACAACCTTGTGACCTTCCGGAAAGTTTGCAAGCAACGACTCAATCTTTTTCAAATTCTCCTGAGTAAATTTAAACGGCGTCTCAGGATTGTTTTCTTTACTATCTCGGTGAATTACAAGACCATGTCCTTTCAAATAATTTTAATTTAAAAATATCCAAATCAAATAAAACCTCCACATTTAGCAACAGACAAAGACAACTTCCTCAACGACGCACAAACAGCTTTGTTTACTTGTAACATTTTTTTCTAAAATTTTTATTTGAAAAAATAAAATTAAAGGTAATGGGGTTAAAACTAGACTTTACTAATTTATGCTTTTTAAAGTTATCGAACGGAATTTTCACATTTCTCCAAAAAAAAAGAACAAGCAAAAACGAACAGCACGCAATCAACACCCGCAATCCCCCCCCCTCATCCACCCTAGTTACGGATAAGAGGAAAGGTTAAAGGGAAAAGGTAATAGGAAAAGGATTGACACGCGAATCCAAAACTCTTATAATTCCCCTTATTATCAAATAAAAATTCATTTTAAAAAATATTTGGGGGTTTAAAACCCAATAAAAATTAAAAAAAATTCCTTAATGAACCATGCAAATATAATTTATGCGCATTTTTAGAAAAAAAGCCAAGTAAATAATATATAACAAACGTAAAAACATCAAACAATTAAAACAAAGTTTTTATTTTTTTCCTAACAAAAATTGGATATAAATTAGAAGGGGGTATATTCTTTTTTTCATATTTTCATATATCAATCAAGTACACAAAATTTAATCATTACCCAATAACCATTACCATAAATTTACCCAATAACCACGAACAATTTCTGGATCCCTGTGATGATCAGAACAGTAAATAAAGGCTCCGATGAAGTTATCAATGTAATATTTTTGCTAAAATTAAAATTATATTTTTAATCTGGAAACAGAGAAGTAAATCTAAATCATAGGGCAAAATATAAACTTTAGACCTCCTTGGAGCTAATACTAGGCAGTTATTCTATATCCTGTTACACTTCGATTGAGCTACAAGAACCCATGACTAATGTAAGTGGGTTAAACCATGAGTAAGGGGTTTAAAAAATTTTTTTTAAAACCCCAGGGAAAATCCATTAAACAAAAAACCCCATTAAACCCACGACTAAGGGGTTTTGTTTTGTTGGCCAACTGACACCCCTGTTGGCCACCTGTCTTTTAAGGCAACCCTTAAAACCCCTCACCATGTAGAAATATCATACGACCTAGGCTCTTATAGTAAAACACTCGAAACAAAATAACCTGAACAGCGACAAATTTACATTCCGTTGCATCATCATTTGTCTTCTGAACTGAATAATCATCAGAAACTGAAGTAGAACGACGTCGATGTCCAACTTCTGTGCTTAATAAGCCATTGCCAAAGTCAGCTTCTGATTCCATTAGTTGAGATTAAATGTGAAGACAAAGGTAGAGATGTAGAAAAATATTATAGTAAATATCTGAATATTTTTAATAGAAAAGTTAGACAAAAATTCATGACTAAAAATCATTTAAACAATCCAGATACAAATAATATAAGCCAATTTATCAAACAAATTGAAAGAAAAGAAATCCTAAAACGAGCAAAAGTCTACATACACGGAATTAATAACGCAAATCCTATAAAAATTTCCTAAATAGAATATGCGGACTCTTTGCCCCAAAAATAAACAAAAACTATACAAAAAAATAAAATTTTCCTACAATCCTTCTTGAATACCAAAACCAGGTCCCTTTGGAGGTTCTGTTAACGAAGTTTTTGATTTTATAGGTTCAGACGCCAATCTTCCACTTTTCGGGCCAGGCAAAGGTCTCTTCCCATTTTTAAGATCATCAATAATTTCATTAATATCGTCAACAGTTAAATCCTCATAATAATCATCGTTTATCTAAAAATAAAAAATTAATTAAACCTTGTTTTTCGATAAATTATATGTGGTGGAACTTAAATCACAGATGTAAAAAAGGTGGGGAAGAATACAAGAATCAAAATTCTAACGACAGCATTTTCACTTCTAACCCCTCAAATAATTTCCCACCTAATTCACTAATTTCACCAATGCTCATTAATTTCCCAATCCTTATCAGGGATGGCCGAAATAACTAATAATTAAGAGAAAAGTAACCTGAACCATTGGAGCATTTACACAAGCACCAAGGCATTCAACTTCCTTAACAGTAAATAATCCATCTTTAGTTGTACCCCCAGGCTTTATTTCTATAAAAATAAGTAAAAATAAAATTTAAAAAATTAAAACCAAGTTTTTTGCAAATAGCTTCCATAATAGTTTCAGCCCCGCGAAGCATACAAGGAGTTGTCCCACAAAGTTGAATAAAGTATTTGCCAACAGGTTCTCTGTTATACATCGTGTAGAAAGTTGCTACTTCGTAAACTCGCATCCTTGGAATTTCTGAGAAAAACTTTTATTTAATAATTACAGGAGTTAAAATACCCAAAATCCGAGCAACTTCATGCATAGCAGAGATTGGCAGCCATCTATTTTGGCGTTGCGCCAAATCAAGGACTGGAAGAAGAGCAGCTTGCTACAAAATGACAAGGTTTAATAAAAATATTTAAAAATTAGTAGCCAACCCAAATCACTTAAACCCTCCAATAAAATGTTAAAAATGCCTTACAAACTTAACCCTACAAAAAACAAAAATAATCAAAACAACCTTGTGACCTTCAGGAAAGTTTGCAAGCAAAGACTCAATCTTCTTCAAATTCTCCTGAGTAAATTTAAAAGGCGTCTCAGGATTGTTTTCTTTACTATCTCGGTGAATTACAAGACCATGTCCTTTCAAATAATTTTAATTTGAAAATTCCGAAACAAAACCTCCACAATTAGCAACAGACAAAGACAGCTTCCTCAACGACCCAAAAATAGCTTTGTTTACTTGTAACATTTTTTTCTAAAAAATTTTTTTAATTAAAGAGAAAAGGTTGAAAGATCAGGCTCTATTATTTAAGCTTTTTAAAGTTATCGAACGGAATTTTCACATTTACCCCAAAAAAGGAGAACAAGCAAAAATGAACAGAGCACGCAATCAACATCCCCCTCATCCACCCTAGTTACGGATATGAGGAAAGGTAAGGAGGGCAAAGGATTGACACGCAAATCCAAAACTCTTTCAATCCCCCTTATTATCAAATAAAAACTAATTTCAAAAAATATTCGGGGGTTTTAAAACCCCATAAAAATTTTAAAAAAATTTCAATAAACCATGCAAATATAATTTATGCGCATTTTTATAAAAAAGCCAAGTAAATAATATATAACAAACGTAAAAACATCAAACAATTAAAACAAAGTTTTTATTTTTTTTCCTAACAAAAATTGGATATAAATTAAAAGGGGGTATATTCTTTTTTTCATATTTTTTATATATCAATCAAGTACACAAAATTTAATCAATCAATCAAAACTAAATTTTTAGAACACCCAAAAAAATTTATAAAAATCAACACTTCAATTTAAGTTGCTTCTTTTCCTCTAAAAAATTAGGAGTTCAAACCCGGGCCGGGCTTAAGATAGGGGTTTCAGAGCCCAGTAGACAGGTATTAGGTATTTAGATAAAATGAAGAGGTTTCTGTGTTTTAGCACAGAATCAGGTTTTTCTAGATTTTAGCCCTGTATCAGTTTTTTTTTTAAAATTTAGCCCAAAATAAGGTTTTTTGGAGTTTTAGCCCGCAAAACCCTCCTACCCGACTCAATTTATAAAAGAAACCCTCCCCCGAATACCTAGCCCGGAAACGTAAAAAGTTTTTAAACTTTCCTAAAAAAATATCCATCTTTAACCCGAAATGTTGATTTAAAATCTTTTTAAATTATTCTTCCCGAATTCTAATAAATAAAATTTTTCTTTTTTTAAATAAATTTCCCTCTCTCTCCCTCATTTTTCAATCAATTTATGTATGAACCAAAAGTCTGATTAAACATTTTTGATGTTCCAATAAAAGAATTTGCTGTTGGTGTTGTACTATTGTTATTATTATAATTATCTATTTTTGGTTGTTTGGCATAATTTGGTTGACATCCTTCAAATGAACGTCGAGGAATTTGTTTAATTTGTTTATTTGGCTGTTGATACTGAATTTGTTTTAGAGCAATCTTTTGTTGACATTTTTTACATTTTTTCCCCAAAAATTTATTTTTTTTTAAATCTACGTTTCTTCGTTATATACCTGATTTTTAAAAATCCTTAAAAAAATCCTTCATTTCAACGTCAAAAAAAATTTTTTAATTCGAAATATTACAAAAATTTTAAAGAAAAATTAAAATACCCGAGTATAAAACAAAATGTACGGCTCCATTTTCTCCATGGCGTGGCCCCTTCTTCATTAATTAAATTTCGTTGTTTATATTGTTCCAATTCTTGTAGCAAAGCTTTTTGTTGATGAATACTTTGAATTGTTCGTTGATATTCTGTCAAATATTCCTCACTTCTTTCTGTTAAAACTGAAAGTTTTCCGCTTGTAGCGTCTGCTTGTTCTAATGGAATAAATGTCTTCTTCTGCGGCTCTACATAATCACCTTTTAAAAATAAAAATATTAAAATAAAAGTATTATTGTCTCTATAATTTATCTACTTAACCCAAAATCATTGGTTATGGTTGTCCAGGCAAATTGCGTGGGTATATAGATTTAAAATGATCGAGTTACAGCCGTGAAAAATTATTTTTGATTGAGGACAGCCAAGGTCAACATCCTTTGGATAAAAAATATAAAAACCGTTGGGGTCACGTCAATCTGGGACAAGTCGATGGAAAAAATCAGATAACGTTTTGAGACAAAAAATCAACGTTTCCCCAACCCCCATCCCTGGTCCTAATTATAAATTTACAAAATAAAACCTTCATTTCTAAGTTGACTTCTTTGATAACGATGTACAAAATAAATACAACAACTAATTAATCCAGAAATAACAATTAAAGAACCAGCAAAAACAAAAGCAGCAATATATGATTGAGTCAAATCAAATACAATACCAGCTAATGGAGTACCCAAAAGGGAAGAGATTCCTCTAGCAACAACCAAAATTCCAAAAGAATTTGTTAGTCTTTCAACGCCAAGTAAATCAGAAAGTAAAATTGATGTAAGGCAAACATAGGCTGCTAAAAACAAAAAATTTGAAAATTTTCAAAAAATTTCTCAAAAAAACTTACAAACAATAAATCCAAACAAACAAGAATAAGTAATTAACATGAGGTAATTTGGAAATAATGGACAAAATGCTGTGAGCAACCCACATGATATTAAAGACCAATTGGTTATAGTTAAAGCACTAACCCATCTTCTATCGGCCATCCAACCAAAAAATACACGGCCTTAAAATAAAATTTTTTGAAAATTTTAAATTAAAGAAAAAACCAAAAGTATTTGAAATTCCAATAAGTGAAAGTAATAAAGTAGCCTCAGAAAGTGATATTCCTTCAGATACAGCCAATTCAATTAAAAAAACAAAAGGAACATAAAATCCGAGCATTCCAAAAATTGAAGAAATACATAAAAGAACCATTACAGGATCTGATAATAATGAAAGAGAAACCATTTCTGAGATTGCTTGGCGAATTGGAAGTGGAATAAATTTGAAACGACTGAAAAATAAAAAATATAATTGAAGAGAGGAGAGTAACAGCTGGACCTCTATTCCGGTTTTGGGTCTAAAACTTTCTAATTATCAAATATTCGAAATAGCCAAAATATTGTTCAGAAAGATAGGATTAGTAGAATATATTCTCAAAAAGATTGATAACTAAAAAAATTTTTGGTGCATTTATGGCCTAACAAGTCGAAGAAAAATTGGGTTTCTATCTTACTTATGTTAGCAGGGATACCAACTTTCCAATCCACTAAAAAAATACGGATCACAAGCTTTGACGGAAGGTTTTACCCGATTTATTACTGGGATCTGAAGCTATTATTTAAAAGTCAAAAACCTTGTATCTTGTTGCTGTCCTTCCAAATCTTCACAAAATTCTGTTCCTTCTCCACCAGTTATTCTGCTATATTGACTTCCTCCAAATCTATTGCTTGATTCTACCATATCACCACAAGCATGTGAAAGTGAAGAAGACAAATTTTGTGCTGCAATAATCATTGGAATTGAAATTTGTGATTCTCTATAACGTTGATAATTGCTTCCTTAAAAGAGAAATTTAAAAAATTTCAAATTTAAAAAAACCTTCGCTTTCAAATTCCTTCAAATTTCTTATACTTCCTTGAAGGAATATATCATGTCTAGATAAAGGCCTAGCAAATTCTTTTGGTTCAGCTCCACTCAAAGCAACAGAAAGTGTTGATTCGCCTTTAATTGATTGAGGTGGTGCTTGGCTCAGTCTACTAAGTGATTGGGCGTATGAACGTGCTGAAACACGTGACAATTGACTGTTGAGGTTGACACGGCTTAAGCGAAGTTGATTGCTACTTCCCATCCATGCATCACTTGCCATACTGTTTTTAAAATGAAAAATTTAAAAATAAAAACAAATTAACCTAGTTAATGTAGGCTTTCTAGTTCGATTTGAAACGACTGTTGGATGTCGACCAGAGATTCCATCAGCATGTGATTGTTGTACAGAACCAGCTCTACTTTTGCTTAATCTTCTCTTCCCACTTTCAGGGATAGGAGAAAGTGGGGGACGATGTGGTGTTAATGGCGAGGAAGAAACCTTTAAAAATCAGAAAATTATGTTAAAAAGCAATTTTAAGGAAAGGAGAACTAAAACGACCCAAAAATTCTCTACTAAAACCCCTTAAAAATTCCTTAAAAAAAAATTTAAAGAAAAACCATTTCATCAGCATTTTCATCTCCTCTCCCCAAATCAATTCCACCTTCAAGTCCATTCATTAGTAAAGGTTGACCATCCTCTTTTGTACATTGTGAAGATGTTCTTGTAGTTGCTGACCGTTTAACAGGAGAAATTCCTCCTCCATTCGTTGTAACTTCGTCAGAAATATTTGAATTACACTATAAAACTAACTTAAATTTAAAAAATTAAAAAGAAACCTCATCATCTCCATCATCCGCTCTACTCAAAGCAGCTAAAAGTGCTTGTTGTTTTAATTCAATTGCTAGTCTGTTTTGTTTTTCAATATCAAATTCTGGCAATGGCAAAGGTTTAAATAAAAGGCCACAAAATACACAGAGAAGAATAAGTGCAGCAAGGCAATATATGGCTATTTTCCAACCAAAAGCTTTAAAAAAATTTAAAATAATTTTAAAAATAAAAATAATAGTAGTAAGGGACTGAAAGGATGTAAAAAGCACCTGAGGAAAAAATAGGGACTTGAAAGGAATCGAACCACGCACCCCAAAATGAAAAGTCCAACACAGTAACCACTCCGCCATCGCTACAACTTAAAGGATGAGTTTAATTTCTACCCATATTTAACCGAATTATTTGTAATTTCCCCCTAATTTTAAAAAATTAAAACAAACACTCAATCAAATATTTAGACAAAAGAGGAATCAAAAAAGTCCCAACACCACTTCCAGAAACAGCAATTCCAGTAGCTAATGCCCTCTTTGCTTCAAAATATTGACTGACAATAACAATTGCTGGCAAATAAATAAATCCAAAGCCAATTCCTTCAAAAAAATTTTTTGGCCCCTCCCAAAAATTCAAAAAAAAACCTCCAAGAATTCCATAAACAAAATAATAAACAAATATATTTGGTGAAAATGTAGAAAGAATAAAAGATAATGAAGCAATAATGGCTCCACAAACAACAATACGGCGAGTTTCAAAATTGTTTAAAAGACCGCCTACAACTGGGCCTGAAAAAATATTTTTCTAAAAATTTCAAAAATTAAAAAAAAATACCAGAGAGTAAATACATCCCAATTAGAATCGATCCAATAAGAGAAACACTAAAAAAATAAATTTTAAACAATTTTTAAAAAATTTTAAAGGCATACGCTGATTTGTTGGCACCAAATTCTTTTTGATAAGCAGCCATAAAAGGCCTGAAGAAACATTTTTAAAATTTAAAAAAACTTCAAAAAATACCCAAAAGCATTACTAATTCCATCAACAATTAAATTACAAACAAAAGCAGCAGCAACAACTACCCAACCGTATTCTCCATCTGGGGGGATTGGTAAATGATCAACAATAATTACATCATCTCTTGCTTGACAACCTAGAATATATTATGGTATTTTTATATTAAAATTGTGTAAATAATTTTAGCGGAAAGATAAGAGAAATAGTAGTAAAAAGGGTACAATATGTTAAAGAAAAATATGAAGAATCCAAAAAAATTTTCTGCCGCCAATTTTAAAAATAAATTTTTCAGAAAAGCTATAAGATCAATAAACTAAACTTCCCCATCCTAGTCTCACATCAGAAAAGCATAAAAAAATCAACAAAAATTTACCCTGAGATTCGTTAATTGAGAGTGAGCTTTGAAAGTCGTTGTCTGGTAATATTTGCAAGTGTTGGTCATCCAAGTCTTGGAAACAACTGCCGGCACCATCATCATCCTTGAATCCTTAAAAATTTAATTTTTTAAAAGATTCGGGATTTTTTCAAAAAAATTTTTTTTATCCGCAAAATTAAAAAAAATAAATTAAAGTCCAATCAAAAAATCCAAACCGTTAATTAATTGATTCTGCTCATCCTCCACAGTCAATTCAAACGGCACTTTTTGAGGTGATTCTCTATCCTTTGCAGAACTTTCATCAACTACCACAATTTGAACTCCATTTCGCAATATTGATTTTAATTTTGAAGGTTCAGTATTCTCCTCATTCGCTACTTGTTCATTTTCTGTTGGCATTTCATTTGCCATCTGAAAAGGAAAAATCATCAAAATAAAAAATTATAAAAATTAAGTGTGCGCCAAAAACATTTTTCTGCCGTTCAAAAACGCCAAAATTAAAAAACGCCACAAATTTCCCCGAAAAAATATTTTTGGCGCACAGCAAAAAATAAAATAAATAAACTCCAAAAAAATGAAAAGCAGAAATAAATTTTAAAAAAAGAGAAAAATTAATGTAGTTAATGCTGGTAGTGCCGGCTATATAAAATTTTATTTTTACGTGACGCGTAAGCTTTATAAATAAATAAAAATATAAAATGTCCCCAATACGCACCCATTAAGGGGAGGAGAGGAACAGCAATAAATAAGGGGCTGATTCTCTCACACAGAAAAAAAATCGTCATTGGCGGGGGGAGAGGGGGGGGGGGGGATGGAATTTCTTTTTGCACTTAAAAAATATGAAGAAATTAACACATTAAAAAATAAATTTTTTTAAACAAAAAATTAATATGACTAATACTTAATTGATGGATAAAGACAAAAATCACACAAACCCCCCCCCATTAGAGTCTGAAAAAGTAAAAAAATATGAGAGTAGCGGAGAATACTAGAGTAGAAACCTAGCAACCCCTCACTCAAAAGACCTCCCTCAATGGAGGAAGGTGTTAGGGTTCGGGGATAGAATGGAAGACCCAAGAAAAAAAATATTCAGGAATATTCTAAACATTTAATAAAAAAAATTGGAAAAATTGAAAAAAATTATTAAATTTATTTCCTAAAATTTATCAAAAATAAAATCTCCCCAAAAAAATAAGATTATAAAAAAATTCCCAAGGGGTATTCAAAACGATGATTGATGGAATAATCAAAAAAAATTTTTTTTATTTACCAAAATTTATATAAATGAAACAAATGCTTTTTCTAAAATAATTTTTAAAAATTATTTTTAAAAAAGCAGGGAGTACTCTTAAAAATCAAACAAAAAAAATTTTTTTTTATCTTGCGTCATGTGTGCTTAGCCTGCAACTTTTTTAAAAAATGAAAAATGTACTTTTCTATTATTTAAAAAAAAAAGATTAAAAGAGAGGGGAGACGAACATTTTTGGGGGAGGGGGGAGAATTTCAAAATAAATATTTTATTTATTTTTGTCCCCCCTCCAATTTAAAACAAAAAAAAATCAGAAAAAAAATTTGGGGTAAAAAAGACGAATTTACCTATATTTATTTCCGTCTCTCCCTCCTCCCTTCCTTTCCTCAAAAATTAATTTAAAGAAAAATTAATTTTTATTTCTCCGCGCAGCAAAATAAAAATTTTTTATTTTATTTTTAATCCAAAAACTCCCCCCATTTAAAACATTAAAAATAAGAGAAAAAGAAAAAGGTTTCACTTACCGTCCTTCCCTCCCACAAAAACCGCAGCACACCAGCCAGCTATATAGTGAAATAAAGCTTAAATAGTTGACAGTCGGCAATAAATTGATTTTTGCAAAAGCTTTTGAAAAGAGAGAAAAATAAATAAAAAATATTTTTATTTCCTGCTTTTCTCCAACCAAGTTTTTAAAAAAAAATTTAAAAAAAATATATGAGAAAATAATTTAAATAATTAATTTAAAAAATTAATTAAAATTGATATGTAAAATAAAAAAAAATCATTTTTAAAAATTTATTTAATTAAAAAATATTTTTGACAATATATATTTAATCTAACATTAAAATTATTAAAAAAAAAAGATTTAACAAATTATTTTAAAAAAATAAAAAATATATATTAATTGCAAAAATAAAAAGATTTGAGAGGGCAGGTAAAAGTATGTCGGTCAATCAAAAATTTTTGTTTATAGGGCTTTTTTGAATTTTTAAAAATTAAAAAAATAGAAAATTATTTTTAAAACTTAATTAATTGGGAATGTCAAAATATTTTGTTATAAAATTTTCTCAAGGTTTTTCTTCATCATTAACAACAAGGAATAGCTTCTGACAAAAACGAGTCATGTTTGCTAAAAAAAATTTTTTTAAATTTTTTAAATTTTATTTAAAGGCGTATAAAAGAAATATTTAATTCAAAAATTAAAAAAATTTTAAAAAATTTTTTAAACCCTTCAAAAATTTTTTTTAATTTTTCAAAACTATGACAAACTGTATTTTACCATTTTCAAACCCTTCTTTAAAGAATCGCCTCATATTTCAAATAAAAAATTTATTAAACAACAAAAAAATACCCGAAGCTCTGTAAATCCACATTGGCCTATTTTTCCAATAAATAAAAAGCAAATAGACAGGTATAGCTGTCAACATTATTGCTATTCCAATTGCTATAAATTAAAATAAAAAATATTTTTTAATTATAGAAAATTTTTTAAATTAAAAAAAATTCCAAAATTCAAAAAAATAGAAATTTTTCACAAAAAAGAATCAAAAAATGTAAAAAAATTTTTTAGAAGAAATTTTTAATTCAAAAAATTTTTAAAGCTTGTCAAAAAATTCAATATAGAAGAAATTTTCAATTTCTAAAAGAAATTTTCAGATTCAAAAAAATTTTCAAAAAAAACCTGTATCTTTAGGATTACCAACAATAGGTATAACAACAAGTGCCATACATCCAAACAAAAATAACGAAGGAAATATTAAATTAACTTTTATCGGTCTTGGAGCATTTGGCATTTTTTTGCGAAGATAAAAAAGTGCAGAAATTGCTAAACCTATAGCTAACCAATAACTTATTTGGATATAATTTATTAAGGTTATTGCATCATCTCCAAAAGCTAAATAACAAAGTGACAAAAATCCCTGAAAAAAAAGAAAAATTTGTTTTGAAAAAATTTGAGGTAGGGAAGGATAAGAAGAATTAGTTTACAAACATTTTCAACATGGCGCCCATGAGGAAAAAATCTTTTTTAAAAAATTTTTATAGATTTAGGGAAGACATGAGGAATCATTTTACGAAGATTCTCATTCGTGACTAATAAAAAAAACTTTTCCAATTCTCACCTATGAGTTAATCAAATCAGCAAAAAAAACAGAAATATACTCAAGGGTAAAACTAAAAAAAATTTTTTGAAAAATCCCAAGAGAAAATATTTTCTTAAATTAACCCTGAAATCACTACAAATCCTAAACTTAAAGGTCCTCTTATTTTAAGAAAAAAATATTCAAAAATTAAGAAAAATATACCAGAAATGCTACTGCCGGTATTGGTGTTCTTGTTTGTTTATTTATCATAGTTAATGCAATTGGCATTTGTTCTTCTCTAGCGCCAACATAAAAAAGTCTTGATGATGTGAAAATCCTTCAAAGAAAAAATCTCAAGAACTTATAAAAATTTAATAAATGACCACAAAAAATTCAAAAAATTTTTTTCAAAAACTAACACTCCATTTGCAGATCCAAAAGTTGAACAAGCAACAAATATAGGCATTGTAAAGGCTAAGGGTCCATACATTTTGTTTGCAAATTCCTTTAAAAAATAATTTATAAAAAATTTTTTCCTTCAAAAAATACCACAGCAACAGCATCAGAAGCCAGCATTTCTTGTGGGCTAATAACTGTGTAGAGAGCAACATTTGTAAAAACATAAATTATAGTAACAGAAACGGTTGAGATGAGAATTGCAAGAGGAAGATTTCTTTAAAAAATAAAGGAAAAAAATTTATAAGGAATAAGTGATCTGATTACAGGCTTAAGAGGAAGGATTAATTTTAAAAAATACAAAAAAATTCTGGATTCCTTATTAAAATTAAAAATTTTTTGATGGTCTTCCGCGAAGTTCTCACGGTTCCAAAAAATCGAATGGGTTTTCAAGGTTTCGGTTCTGGACAGTTTTTGCAACTGCAGCACCTTTCATACAAAAAATGATGACTGAAGGATGTAGTACCAAAAAAGGTCAACTACCCTTATTCAACCACACATACACCTCAAAATTCACTAGTCCCTAATTCTCTCAAAAAAAATTTTTAATTTTTTTTGATGGTAATAAAATAACCAACATAATAAATTTAAAAAACCTTTTTGGATTTTGAAGCTCTTCAATAATAAAATTTAAATAATTCCATCCTTGATAAGCAAAAAGTCCAGAATAAAAAGCTATCGAAACTTTGCCAATATTGGTATTTGTGTCTTCAAAAATGTTCTCAAATGACCTTCGATATAGTGGATCTCCTTCAAAAAAAATTTTTTAATTAAAAATTCCAAAGAAAATTCATCTAAACAAACCGCTAACCAACAGATAAATCCCAGTAAATGTAATAAGCAAAAGTGCAAATATTTTGGCAACAGTAAACGTATCCATAACAATAGTTGACCACCTTAAGGGCAATTTTAAATATTAAAAAATTATTTAAAAATTAAAAAAAACCTAACAGAAACACAATTCAAAGTCGTCAGAAAAACTGAAAAAATAAAAAAAAATTTTCACATCCTCCCGAAAAAATTTGTTTCAAAAATTTTTTACACACACTTATCAAAACAGCAGCAATCATTTGGATAATTCCTGAAGGCGGGGAACAGTTGGGGAAGAACGGTCGAAGAATGTAAGTAGCAAAAGTCAAACAAACTATTGTACAAGTACAAGGCCTAAAATTGGTAAAAAGATTTAGACCTCATTAAAATACACCCAATATAAGATACGCTCACTATAAGCACCTTCGCTCAAGGGCGTATCCAGGGGGGCTGGGGGGGGGGGCTAGAGCCCCCCCCCCCCCCCCCCCGAAATGGGGGAAAGGGGGAAAAAATTAGGAGAAGGATGGTCGAAAAAGTGAAATTTTTTCGCCTATAACCCTCAAATTTTAAAAAACTTTCGCCTGCGGCGCAAAAAATGGAAGAAATCTGGCTTCTTGAGCTCCAAAATCCTCAAAATTTTCGCCTGCGGCGCTGAATAAGTGAATTTTTTGCCTACGGCCTTCTAAAATTCAAAAAATTTTCGCCTGCGGCGCTGAAAAAGTGTATTTTTGGCCTACGGCCTTCTAAAATTCAAAAAATTTTCGCCTGCGGCGCTGAAAAAGTGTATTTTTTGGCCTACAGCCTTCTAAAATTCAAAAAATTTTCGCCTGCGGCGCTAAAAAAGGAAGAAATCTGGCTTCTTGGGCTCCAAATTCCAAAAAATTTTCGCCTGCGGCGCTGAATAAGTGAATTTTTTGCCTACGGCCTTCTAAAATTCAAAAAATTTTCGCCTGTGGCGCAGAAAAGATGAAAATTTATGTACAAAAAAATTTGCGTCCGGAACGCCAAGGCAAACGCCAAAAATTTTTGCGCCCACCCAGTGTTAGCCCCCCCCCCCGAAACCGACCCCCTGGATACGCCCTTGCCTTCGCTATAGGATACGTCCGACATTGGATAAACCTCGATACAGAATAGGACCTTTAAAATTTGGTTGCCCCCTGACAAATGAGTAGGTTGCCACTGGGTAGGGAGACCGTCGAAGCGACAACACTCTATTTAAAGACACCTTCGCTATAGGATACGGCCGACATTAGATATACTTCGAGTTAGAATATGTAGGGCCTTTAAAATTTGGTTTCCCGCTGACTATAAATAAATCGCTATTGGATAGAGGGACCATCGAAACGATAAAACTCTATTTGATAAACCTCCCATTATAAGCCCAATTTTTCAGCCAAAGAGTGTATCTCATAGGGGGTCCTTATAATTTTAATCATTTTTAAAATATACCTAACAATAATAGCCTCAACCCACAATCGAATAAATGCCAAAAACGGTCCAAAAGCTTCCATCTAAATAATAAAAAATTTAAACTGATTATAAAATAAAAACAAACTAACAATATAAGCATAATCTCCACCAGATTTTTTAATTAAGGTCCCAAGTTCGGCATACTACATAAAAAATTTAAAAAAATTCAAATTTTTTGTCAGTTAATTTTTTGGCGTTTCGAATTTAGATATTTTGATTTTTTACATTTTGAAATTTGCGCGGTCAAAATTTATTTTTAAATTTTCCTTCGTAGTGTAGTGGGAAAATGTTTAGTTTGTAGGGGCAGGTTCGAATCCTTTTCGGGGAAATATTTTTAAAATTCTCAAAAAATTCCCAAAAATTTTTTTTAATTTTGTAGAACATTTTTAAGCCTTTTAAAAACATTTTTAAGTAAAATTAAGCAAAAAACAAACACAATAAGAGCCAAGTCCAACAAACAAACCGCAAAATATCCATATTAGAAGAGACAATCCAACACTTCCAGCCTCTTCAAAAAATTATTTTTAAAAATCTTTTAAATTAAAAAAAAAACCTCTTTGAACTCCCGTAGGTGACAGAAAAATTCCCGATCCAATAATACATCTTAAAAAAAAATTTTTTTAATTTTTTAAAATTAAAACCATACCCAACAATCATCGAAACACCATTCATTAACGTCAAAGATTTAGCCAAACCCCTTCCTGTATCACTTTCTTCTTCTTCTTCACGCACCATTTTATTATTTATTTCGTTTTTATGCTGTTCTTGTAAGAGTTGTGAATTGTCTTTTTCATTGGTAGGAATTTTGAGAGGCATTTTTTCGGTTGTTTCCTTCCTCTCTTTAAAAAAACCTTAAGATGAATTAACCTTTAGTTTATTTATTTTTAAAAAGGTCCCCCCATTTAACATTTTCTCTCTAGAAATTTACGAGTGATAGCAAAAATGCTGGGACTGCTCTTTAGCAAATATCAGTCAGTCTATTTAACAAAAAAAAAATTTTTTTTTGAAGTAAAGGACCACTCATTTTTATTTATTTTTAGGGGGAAGTAAAATGTATTTATTTAATAATTTTATACGAAACTGTTAATAATACACAGCTAATAAATTTTTTGACTCTCCCCTATGTGCACAAAAATTATTCAGAAAAAAATAAATTTGTGTGTGTGTCCTTTTAAAAAAATTATTTCCTTCCTATATACTTTCAACTCTCCGAAAATTTGTATAAAAACACCCGACAGATTATTATCAATTTTAGAACAACAACAATTGATACTCTAGGAAAATAATATTATTATTTTATTGGAAGGGTGATTTTACCAAAAAAAATTTTTTATAAAAAAATATTAAAAATTGAAACTGAATGAAATTGAAAAGAGGCAATGGGGGACACACCTCAGAGAAGATTATTATTTTTACTTTTTAGGACCAGACTTAATTATTGATAAGTGCACTAAATTCACTCCCCTCCCATTCTCTTTGACGGCTTAATAATCCCTTGTCATATACTCTGGAATGAAAAAAATTTTTTTTGCGTAAAAGAGTGAATGAGCTTTTTTAAATAGTTGGGGAATTATTGATTTTGGAGTCAATGCACATCCATTTTTTATTGGCAATGGGGACAGCAGCTACTAAAATAGCTAAACAAAAAAATTTTAAAATAATTTTTAGAAACAAAGCAAACTACATTAAATCTTTCATTAAATTTTATATTTTTTTTAAAAAAATAAACGTGTTAAAATAACATAAAATTAATATATGTAGTTGTTAAAATATATTTTTAAAAATTTTTATCTACAAAAATATGTATAATATACTATGTTTGAATTATTTTTTAAATTAAAATTTTTAATTGTAATATAGTAGTTGTTGGCGACGATTATAAAACCGAAAAAAATTTTTTTTGGAAATGAGTAATTAAAAAAAATTCCCCAAAAAATAAAACCAAATATTAAAAAAACTTGAAAAATGGGCAAGTAAACCCAAAAACTGGGCTTTTAAAATTTAATTAACCAAAAACCGGAAGTGATCAGAGTTAATAACAACCGTTCGCCAACACCCCCTAAATTTTTTAATGTTTAAGTAGAAAAATATAATTTAGGATATGTTAATTCTATGATAAATTATATTTATAAATTTTAGACTAAATCAAAAAAAAATGAGTTGTTTTGTGATAATGTTAAAAATCCCCAAATCTTTTTGCTAAAATTTTTATTTTTCAAAATTAAATTTTCCTAACCATTTTTAACTCAAATCCCCATCACAACTCAATTTCTTTTTAAACTAAAAAAATTCAAAAAAATACCTGATAACAAGAATGGAATATATGACAAGATTATTGACAAACACTACACATTAATATTTAAAAAATCACCGAGTCCCAATTTATTTTCCACTAAATTTCCTCTTCATTTAATGCCAAGTGTAGTCTCTTTAACCAAAGAATTGAGAGTAAAAAGATTAAAAAGATCTTTAAAAAATTAAAAAAAATTTTTCAAAAAAATTTCTTAAAAAACCTATAATTTGTAGCGATTCATTTTTCTTTGCTGCAACCTTACGAATCATTGGAATTCGAAGCAAAATTGAAGAAAAACGTTTTTGGGCTTCACAGGTTTCGTGAAAATGGCATATATGAGTATAAAATGCAGAAATCATTTTTTTCTGTTCCGCACAAACATTTCTTTGACTTGCAGCGTCTAAACTTTCTGTGTCTAAAAAATAAAATTTTCCCCATAAATCTTCCCAAAAAGAAAACCTGGATCAAAAAACATAATTGCCTGAAGTGCCGCAAATTCTTCAAAAAAATATTTTTATTTGGAAAAAATTCCTCAAAAAAATTTTTTAAAAAAAACCTGTAGTTGAAATATTTAATCGTCTAAACGGTTTCATCACACAATCAATCATTGCTGCCATGACAGGAGTTAATCCTGACAAACATCCAACTGTCTAAATTTAAAAAATATTTTTAATTTTATATTTATTTTAAAAAATTAACTGGATAATGAACTGATGGAGGAACATCCACAACAGAACGAACACCTGTTTCAAGACAATTATTTCCATCACGAATTAGTCGAGGATCAAAAAATCTGTTTAAAAATTTTAAAAATTATGCAGTTTTTTAAATTAATCTCACAATCAGAGATAGTTTGGCTTTTTTGTGTAATTAACTCAAATAAAGTCTATCCACTTACATGTGGAAGGGTAAGAGCTCTAAGGATTTTGTATACTTGTCAGTAATACCTCTGTTGGGAGTTACAAGCAAAGCTAACGTATTTAAGTGCTATACAGGGATAATCAGACTTCATCAACTACCGCCAGGTATCAAACCTGAATCTCCCATTAAATGAAAGTCTTTTTTTGTGAGCTGGAAAGAACAATAAAATTTTGAAAAATTACATACGCATGCATATTATTATCATTATTGTTGGACATTTGACTATTTGATGATGATGTAGCAAAATTGTCAGGGGATGTTGAAGTTGATGGCAAATTATTTGTTGAATTGTTATTCTCATTTTCTATATCAAAATTATTTTTTGGTGATATTTGATGAGTATTGTTGACTAATTTATCACAAGATTCTGTTGGTTCAACAATTTTTGAATATTTTTTAGGTGGTTGAGTAGTAGTAGTAGAAGATTCAAAATTTTCCAAATTATTAGAATTTGTTGAAGTACTATTTTTAAATTCAAAATTTTGAGGAGGAAATATTAATGATTCTCTTAAAAATCCAAAAAAAGTAAAAAAATCTACAAAAATACCTCGGCAATTTCTCTGCAATACGTTCAATTCCATCAATAATTTTTTCATCCGAAATTAATTCTGGAGTTCGGAATGCTTCACACATAATCATATAACTACTGGCGTGGTTTGTAATTAGGGCAACTTTGTCAGAATAGGGCAATTTTCGAAATGTCGCAAAAGTTTTTGCCCAATCAATATATAAAGCTATAATTCGTGAACGCCAAAATGGCATCTTTTGTTTGTCTTTGTTTGGAGTTACAATTGGATCAGAAAGCTTAAAAATAAAGTTTTAATTTTTTAACAAGAGACAAAAAATAATGAACTGGCTTAAAACCCATAAACGCCGAAATACCAAACTCCCAAAAGTCACCAAAATACAAAACTATGGGAATGGCTCCGAATTACGGCATTAGTATTTGAGCGTTTTGGTATTATGGCGTCATTTCAAAAAGGTCGAAAATGTCCCCAAGAAAATTATAAATTAAAATTAAAAAATAAAGTAATACTTTAACATTTATTGGCCTTGAAAATATACTTGGTGCTTTCAATGCTTCTTCCAATGTGCCATACGGATGGATTTCCCCACGGCTCAAGAGTAAAGTAAAATTATTTTCTAGTTGAGTTAAACGTTCCAAAATTCCATCGAAAGAGTTTGATGTCTAAAAAATGTTATTTCAAAATTAAAAATTGAACTTTAGTAGTCAAACTTTATTATTTACTCGAATATTTGACAAATTATTTCCATTGTGTAAATCGATTGAACCATGGAAAGAAATGTCTTCTTCATCAGAAACGTCAAATTCATTTCTTAAAAATTTTTTTTTAAAAAGAAAAAAAATCAAAAAAAATACTCTGCAAGATTTTCCAATTTTTCATGTTCTTCATCTTTATTTGTTTGTTCATTTTTATCTCGTCGCTTTCTTTTTGTGTAGCCAATCCTGTCCCTTTCTGATTGAATTGCTTTACAAAAATAATTTTTTTAATTAAAAAAAATTTCTTAAAAATTACAATTTGTATCCATTCCCATTTTTATACATTTCTCTAACCGGCAAGCTCTACAAGCACATCTAACACCTTTATCTACAATACAATTTCCATTGCCCATACATGCAAAGTTGCGATTATTCTAAAATTTAGAAAATTGAATTCTTTAGAAAATGTGTAATTATACCACAATAGCTCGTCGAAAAAACGTTTTGCATCTAAAAAAATAGAATTTTTAAGCGATCCAGGATTAACAATAGAGACCGGACCGGAACGATACTTCGAACAAAAATCTTGGTTAACGTGAATCGAAATTTTGTACGACACTCACAGTTCGGTCTCAAACTTTTAGAAAAAACCTAAGACCATTTCGTCAAAACTGATTTACAAGGAAATTAAAAACATCCAAAATAGCAAGCCCAAAGCCCATCTTTTAACCCGAATATATTAACTTTAAATATACCCATTACAGGAGGGAACAGAATAATGATTTCCCGTCGCCACATCGTTACAAACCACACAAGTAGTATCTGAAAATTTCACCAAATAAAATTATTTCATAAAAAACCTGGAGAAAGTTTGTCGTTAAAAGGTGTAGACATTTAACATCAACATAAAGTCATTTTTATTTTCTTTATTTGACTAAAAATTCGAAAAAATTTTTTTTATTTAATTTTAATAAAAAAATAAAAATAAGTATAAGTGAAGAAAACTTTTATTGATTAAATAAAAAAATAAATCTTTTACTATTTTTACATCAATTTAAGCAATAAACATTTCAAAAAAAATGCCAGAATGTATTAAATGTGCCGCATGAAAATGAAGGATTAAAAGATTTGAAAAAATGTATTAAAAGCTTTTAAGGCCCAAAAAGAATTATATAAATGTCGTCTTTTAATTTATCCATGTTAAGTAGTATCAAAAAGGAAACAACCAAAACGTCATAAAAATAAAGTTAACTATATTTTGTTAAAGACTGACAGCAATGAGGTAAAATTTAAAAAATAGTGATAGCACCTTCAATCCAATAAAAATAAAATTAACTGTTTGTAACCTTCGCCTTCTTCAAATTTAATTTATTATTCGTTGTGTCTTCCAATTTTTTTCTTTTATATCCTGTCGATTTTGCCAATAAGGGAACATCTTGAACAGAATTTTCATTTGATGGAACTGAGAGAGAACGATGAGATTTTGAATTTTTTGTTGTTTTGGAAGACGAGGAATCCAAATCGCCTTAAAATAATTTTTCAAATCTCTCCGGCAACCAAAAAATTCTCAAAACTCTCAAAATCTACTTACCCCAACGTCTTCGAGTTGCTGGATCTGCTGCAAGTATACCCGTACAATTTATTTCACCACAATGACATGAAGGTACTTCACTCCAAAGTCCTTGTCTTTGCATATTATAATCGAAAGACAATTCTTCACCTTCAAAAGAAATTTTAAAAATTTTCAAAAATTAAAACCAACCTTTAGATATATTTCTCTTTGCAATTAAAACCAAATGGAGATCAAAATCACTTTGAAATTGTTGGATAATACAATTTGGATTACACGAGTGATTTACATAACTATAAAAAAATAAAAATAGAAAATCAGTCAAAAACTCTAAAATAAACCGCATATCATTTCCATAATATTGGGCATCAATAGCCCTTTTATCATCCAATTCCATAATATAATATTGAGCTTCATTTGATTGTAAGGAAGCAATTCTATCTATTCGACGACGTTTCTCTTCTTCATCAATAACTTCTCCAGTATATTCACCCACGAATCCTCCCTAAAAAAACTGTTTAAATCCCAAAAAAAATTTTTTTTTACCGCCGATATATCTTCCATTGAAATTGCTCCATATCCTTTTCCATGAAAATATTCAATTTTTACTTGAATACAATTTTTTCCTTCACTAATGCGTCTGTTGTTGCATGGTTTGTTTGGTAGTTCATTACAATCCTAAAAAATTATTTTAATTTTTCATGTCTACATAACACAAATTATATTCCCCAACTAAAATTGTCGGTTCTGGGCCTAACAGAGCATTTTTCGGTTCGGTTCTTCGGTTAGGTTTTGGATATCCAAAGAATTTACAGGAACCAACAATTCTTCCCCAAAACATTCAAATTTTACTTAAAAACTAACCTTTGGACATTCCATGTTCAATGCTCGATTTATGCATTTCGAAGAAGGCCCACATCTGTCTGCAGCATCGCTAGGACATTTACAATTGTCCCTACCAAATAGACGATCCCGCGGCATTTTTAATTCAGATTTAGAGTATTTGTTTTGCTAAAAAATTAAAAAAATCAAACAAAAATCACAAAATCCTTACATTCAATTGTTTGACAATTTTCTCGCCATTACTAAATAATTTATCTGGGATTTGATCAGTTTTTAATGGCCGTTGAGTTAAACTATTTTTAAGCATAAATTCTTGTGCTGATGTCCACTCTAAAATTTAGAAGGGAAAAAATTAAAAAATAAAATTTAAGAAAAACCTGCAAAAATATCAGATTTACTAGCTTCAGTAATATAAAAATAATCGCTATGAGTCATTGTAATCACTCGATTATGCGAAAGTATATTATAATAAATTTTGCCTCTGTATGGAAGCCTAAAATATTTACGGAAGTCAAAAATATTAAAATTCAAAAAATAAACCATTTAACACAAAGATACCCAACAGCACCAAGTTGAGGACTTTTAATTGGAAATTCATCATTTTTTATAATTTGACAAGGATACCATTTTCTAAAATTAAAAAAATTGAAGAAAAATTTAAAAATTGTATTAACTGTCTAGAAAATCTAGCCATAGCATATTCATTGTAACGAACAAAATCAAACATATCACACCAATGACAAGTTGCAATTTCCCTTTCTTCAGATGTATCCATAACGTAATCTCGTTTTGGTCTGCTATAACATTTAAAATGCATCGACCGGAAACATTTTGTGCATTTTACAAGTTTTTCTTAAAATAAAGGTTAATTAATTAGCAAGAAGCTTTCGGACCAGTGTTGCCGCGGGTACAATAAATCCTCGGGTACGGGTTTCGGGTTGGAAAAAATATCGGGTACGGGTTTCGAGTACAAGAAAATGCCGGGTTTCGGGCGGCAACCCTGTTTCAGCCGCGAAAACCAAGACCAACCAAAATATTAAAAATAAAGGCTAATAACCTCCTTGAAGCGGTCCCTGTTGACAATCAGCACAATGTTGCAAATGGAGATTTGTTGCATCATCAAAAATCACATGACGAGGACATATAATTTTGCCTTTTTCATCAATTTCACATCCACCTGAAATTAACTCTTCAAGCGAATCTTAATAGTTATAAAATTACCAGGTATGCAGTCCTCATGCCAGGCAAGTTCACACTGATCACACGCAAATAATTTACCTGAAAATTTGGAAAAACCTCAAAAATTCCCAAAAATAGCCAACCATTAAAACATCTCGTCCTATTATGATCAGCAAAACAAGCTGTACAATGATGAAGTGAACAATATAATTTACTATTTCTTCTCATTGATTCAAAGGTATATCCACCAGTGTTTGTACTTTTAGCACATTCATAATGAAAATGGACAAAGCAACTAGGAGAGGCACATTTTAGCATTCCAAGACTTTTGATACCACAAATATAACAAAAAGATCCACGAGTTCCTTTAAAAAAATTTTTTTACAATTGTCCGCAAGTTTTGTCCGCAAATACAAAAAAAAATTTTTTCAAAAAATGAGCGGACTTTTTCAATTTTTCTGGGTTTAAAACAAAAAAATACTTTTAGGAAAATCATCTCTCCCAATTGGATTGTTATGCTTCCGTTGAGCAATGTAAATAGGTTTTTCCTGTATCCACATACCTAAAATAATTATTTTTAGAAAACAAAAAAAATTCAAAAAACCTTGTTTTTTGACCGGTTTATTTGAAATCATTTCAGGAATTTGAAAATCACTTTTCATTATTCGTAGCTTGAGGGCTTCCAAGTTTTTTCTAATATCCTCTTGAATATCTTCCAAGCTTGGGATGTAATGTCCTCCTTCGTTTTTGAGCAATTCATTAAGTTGTAAAATTTTGACGTTCTCTACAAAATTAATTGCATCAACTAGAACTATAAATTTTTACAAATTCAAAGAAATAAAAAATAAACTAACTTTGTTTGCTTTCCGATTTAATTAATTTGTCATCAGTAGCTTTAATTCGCAAACAATTTTCAATACATGAAGCAGAAAGTTTAAGTGGAGTTTTAGTTTCCATTCTGTAAAAAATTCTTAAAATCTAAAAAATAAGGCGAAAAATTTCAAAAATTAAGACGGAAGAAAACAAAAGAAAAAAACAAAAATCGCCGTCAGCGTCATTTTGACAAAATTTGAAGGGAATAATTCCGCGTTTTTTTTTTCAAAGAGAAATGTCAAAGTGGTAAAATACAAAATCTGAAAAGTTCAATTGAGTACCCACGATTGAGCCCTGAAATCCATTTTATCTTCTTAATCCTCTGATATCCGTCCGAATCTCCGGATACCATCCCCTCCTCCTCCCTCCCTGATTCTTCTCCCCTCTTCCTTGATTCTTCTTCCCCTGATTCCCCTTCACTCCTCTCCTTGATTCACTTAAAATGAAGTGAAAAAAACATTTTCTTCACTTTTTAATAAAGAAAAACCCTTAAAATAAATTTATATATAAAATTTACTTTGTCTTAAAATTAACTTTAAAACACAAAAAATTACAAAAAAATTCAAATTTTATTTAATTAAAAAAAATTTCTAGTAGAAACTTTCATAGGAAAAAAATATATAAAATAAGTGAATTTCTCAACATTAGTTAATAATATAGAAATTTTGCGGCCGGTTTATATATGTGTTGAATGCACATTTATAACAAATCTCTGTGGTGTATTTAATTTAAAAAATTTAGAAAAATCTATTTGGAAGAAAAAAAAGAAATTATGGAGCAAATAGTATAATTTTCACAAAATATTTTTAAAAAATAAAAATAAATGCAGTTTTTATATAAAAAATAGAGCCTTGGGTTTGAAGGAATTTTGAAGGGAACATCACTCGAAAAAAATTGGAATCCGTGAAAATCATTGGAGACCAAGATAGTTGAATCCTTGGAGAGTCCTCAAAATTAGAGAGTTCTTGAAAATCCTTAGAAAATTCTTTTCCTTGAAAATTCTTGGAGAGTTTTCCTCAAAATTGAACTCCTTGAAAATCCTGAGACTTCTTAAGAAATTTCTTAAAATTTCTCAGAAAAATAAAAATTTTTTTCTTTCTTTTTTCAAGGCTCTATTTTTGCAAAATTTTAAGGCAACAAGAGAAGTAGACGATTTTACAAAAAAAAATATTATTTAAAAATTAGAAAATTGTTTGGCGGTGGGGTGATTATTTTTAAAAAATATTTATAATTATTAATATAATAATTAGGTAAAAATAGGGGGAATTAGTGGTAAAGCAAAAACAAGAATCTTGTCAAGAAAATGCACAAAATCCTGTTCTTTTTTTGGAAAATATTAGAAAAATAGGGAAAAACAAAATTTTGGCAAAATTTAGAATAAAATTGAAAATTGGAAAGGAAGGATTTTTAAATTCTAAAATGGCATTTTTTTCAAAATTTTGACTTTAATTTTATTTTTTAAATTTCGTTGCTCTACTTAATTGAAAATAAACCTTCTCCTCCTCATTTATTTGCCGATTTTCTTGTTCCTCTTTGTTCCTTTGATGATGAAACCGATGGAAGTGGATCGGGGATGGGTTGATCAAGAATTACAGCATTTATGATGGCTGCCGTGTCGACATGTTTTCTTCCTTGAACAATTGAATCGTGGTCACCGCTAACCAAATAAACATTTGAAGATTCAGAAACCTTTAAATTAAAAAAATTAAAAATTATTAAAAACTAAAAAAATAAACCTGGCTAATTCCATAGTCTTTTCCAACATCTTCTTCACGGGCTGCGCCCTGTTCTGCTCTAATTAGCGTTATGTGGCCTTTGAATTTTTCTTTTGGCTTGTACCTAAATTAATAAAAAATAGAAATTTTTAAAAAAAATTTTGACATATGTCTAAAATTTTTGACAATTGTCAACTTTGACATTTGTCAAATATTTTTGTAAACCAGCAAAAAATATGCCCGCAAAATTAAAAAAAATTTTCTAATCTTACTTATCAGCCATCAAGAATTTATATCGCATAGCTTCACATGCAAAAGCAACAGTATCAGGCATTTGGAACAGTCCAGTATTCATCACCGTATCAACAACTTTTTGGAGACGTTCTCTAAATGTGCTTAATTGAATCAATTCAACACGGAATTTTTTGTAGTCAACATTGGCAAAACGTAAAGTCATTGCGCACATAATTTCTGATTCAAATAGTGGATTGTTTACAAGTGTGTCACCAGTAACATTAAAAGCGCGTCGGTAGACCTGAAAAAATTTTTTTTTCAAAAATTTTTCCAAAATATTTTTTATCAAAAAATTTCAAAAAATTTTCAAAAAAATTTCAAAAAATTTTCCAAAAAAATTTTTTCAGAAAATTTTCAAAAAATTTTTTCAAAAAATTTTTTTTTCTCCCCTTACATTTCTATAAGTCTGCATATAAAGATGTGAACCATCCAACAAAATTAATTTTTCAACACTATCAATTCCATCACTTTGTTGAAGTTGTGTAGCAATTTCAAAGCCAATACAAGCCCCATACGAATATCCAATTATTCTATAGGGCCCCACAGGCTGTATTCTTCTCATTTCTTTTATGTAAATTCCCGCTACAGTTTCAATGCTGTCGTTGGGAACGTTTCGAGTAAATTGGAGACAATAAGCTGGGAAGTTGCATTTGGAGGCGACACGTGATAATGGGGAAGCTATTCCTTCGATTGGATGCATCTTTAGAGAAAAAATTTTGTAAAATAAAAAATTTTCAAAAAAACCCTCTAATTTTGACTTATGTCAATTTTTTTGACATATGCCAATGAATTTAACATGTGTCAATAATTCTGACATGTGTCAAAAAAAATTAGACATATGCAAAAATTTGACATATGTCAAAAAATTTTTGACACTTGTCAATAATTTTGACAACTGTCACCCTTTGACATTTTATTAGTCCTTAACACCTATGAATTTTTCAAAAAACTCACAAAGAACGTAATCGGTCCTTCTTCAACTTTATTGCATTTAACAACAATATCAACTGGATCCAAATCATTAACATCTACCCTCAATTTAAATAATGCACCCAATTGTTCTTCCAAAACTTTAACAGAACTTTCCAAAGCCAATTGTTCCCCATCACGTCTAAATTGTAATTCTCCATCTCCTTGTAATGCAGCACTTCCAGCAGCACCACTTCCTCCTCCTTCAGCCATTTTCATTAATTTATTTAATGTTAAAGTACGAATTTCTTTCATTGACAAAGTTATGTCATAATCTCTTTCTAACGCTTGTTTAATTTCAACACCCATTAAAGAATCTAAACCGAGATCACCCAAATTTGCATCAGGATTTAATTGAGAAATGTCGTTAACTCCAAGAATGTGAGATATTGTTTGAAGTAAATTACCGCCAGATTGTTGTTTTTTGCCGCTAGTGTCTGCTTTGATGTAACTAGAAAAATAAATTTTTAATTAATAATTTAATTTTTAAACACGAAGGAACCTAAAACTGAACGCTAACTAACAACCTCATCATAAACCGACTTAAAGCTGACTACCAAACCCTAAATATTTCCCCTTGCTAACAGAAGGAAAACAATCATGAGTTTCGATCATTATTCGTCTACAACTTTTCAAATGATGATCGTAACAAACCTAGCCAGGACCTATAACCAGGCCCGTAGCCAGGGGGGGTGAGGGGGGAATTCCCCCCCCCCCGAAATGGGAAAAAGGAAAAAATTTGGGGAAGGGCTGGGGCAAAAAAAGTGAATTTTTTTGGCTTACGGCCTCTGAAATTTAAAAAATTTTCGCCTGCGGCGCTAAAAAAATCAGAAAGAAGAAATCTGGCTTCTTGAGGTCCAAAATTCAAAAAATTTTCGCCTGCGGCGCTGAAAATCTAAATTTTGGCGCCTGCGGCGCCGAAAAAGTGAATTTTTTTGGCCTACGGCCTTCTAAAATTCAAAAAATTTTCGCCTGCGGCGCTGAAAATAAAAATTTTTGGCGCCTTCGCCGCCAAAAATTTGGCGCAACTATAAAATAAAAAAATTTGGCGCACTATAAAATAATCTCATAAAAATAATTAAAAACAAACCTTGAAACAATCGGATGATTCCAAGCTAAAAAGAGATCCAATGAAGAAAGACAACTTGGAATTCGTTGAGGCAAAGTTCCACCGACAACAGTATTATTATCACCCATATGTTCAAGAATTACACCAACATCCCCAATAGCTCCCCATTGTATTGCAATTCCTGGAAAACCATCAAAACGTCTTTGTTCAATAATTCTTTCCATTGTAGAATTTGACCATCCATAATTTGTTTGTCCAGCATTTCCTCTTCCAGATGTTATACTTGAAAAAACTACAAACCAACGCAAATTTGTACATTTTCTTGTTGCTTCATCTAAATTCATTGTTCCAAAATATTTTGCTTGAGCAGCATCTTTAAAATTTTCGACAGTTTGGTTTTCAAAAAGACAGTCACGTAAAACCATTGCCAAATGAAAAACTCCTCCTATAGGTCCCAAAACTTCACATTCACGAATAAGTTCGTGAGCATCCTCCTGAAAATTGAGTAAAAAATCTAATTTTTTTTCAATAAAAAATTTACTTTATGAACAATATCTTGTGTAGAAACCAAAATTTGAACATGCATTCTTCTCCAAAAATGAACACATCTTGCTTGATAACCAGTTTTAATTCCCTTTCTTGATGTTAAAACTAATTTTCTAGCTCCTCTATTTATTAACCATTGAGCCAATTCTAATCCAAAACCTCCTAATCCTCCAGTAATTAAATAAACATATTGTGGATTACATAATGTTCGACAAACTGCACGTACAAACATTTTTGAAGGTAATGCCAAACGATTTTCTTCTTCTTCACGTATTTGAATTAAAACTTTTCCTTTATGTTTTCCAGCAGACATGTATCTTTAATGAAAAAAATTTTTAATTTCTCATTAAAAAAATTGAAAAAAAACCTGAAAGCTTCTTCACATTTATCAGAAGCAAAAACAGTTGAACTAATAGGTTGTACAACACCTTTACGTATTCCATCTTCAAAAAGTTTTGCACATTCTTGCCATTCTGATTTACGTCCAACAGATTGATCCATTATTGCATCAAGAAGAATTCCATGACTTGAAAAAATAATATCGTAATTGTTCTAATAGGAGCCCGTCTCCAATAGAAGCCCATGCCCTATTAGAAGCCCACACAATGAGACTCAGTTAAAGATAGAAGCCCAGGGCTTATATTAGAACATTTACGGTATTTTAAAAATTTTTTCTTCAAAAAAGCAAACATACAAAGTAACATTCTTCAAAAATAGAGACATTCCCAAAGAAGAATTTTGTGACAAATCAACTTTCCCAATTTCAAGAAAACGTCCATGTTGTGCCAAACAACGTAATGATGCTCTCAACATTTCATGTGCCAAAGAATTTAAT